TTGAGGGCTTTGTATATTTTGATAAAAACATGCTAACTTTGTAATTCTGCCTGTTTATAGAAAACAATTTTAATATGACAATATGTTTATAATTCATTACTGGAATTTTATTGATCAGCATAATGGACAAGTATTACAACAAACATAGAATTAAAGCAAATATAATTGTTAAGGACAACGTTTATTACATAATGGCATATGCATTTTGTTTTAATAGAACTATTAAAAACTGGCATTCACAACTATTAAGAGAATCAAACTTTTTTCCCTCAACAAAATATTATGACTTCATCAAAAGAGCCAAATTTTTTCATTCATTCTGTCTTATCCCTTCTTTCTGCAATTTATCATACCACTTAAAGAATACAATGTCATGCAATAATTACATAATTGTGCTAAATTATTTTGACAGCAATTGGTTGATAAGCTTACTTGAAATTCATCCTAAAACCTCAGAAAACCAAAAGTATAGTTGTTCAATGATTCAGATTTTATCAAAGCTTTATATACCAATTTGAAAATCACCCACAATGCAAATATGATCATACAACTTACATGTCAATTTTAGAAAAAAGTTAAATGATCACTTTTTTGCAAAAACATAATCTAAGAAACACAAAAAACAAACTGGTGGGTGTGAAGGCGGGTGGGAACCAAGGATTATGAAACTAAACACTAAATACATTGGCATCTCTGGGAATTTGCGTCACAGACGATACTTTACAAACCACCATGACTGGATTTAGTCAATACATGCCCAAATCCAACAAACAGACTGCACTGTGGCTTAGGTTAATGCCTATGCTCAACCTATGAACAATATGTATTTTATTCCATGTGTGTGTGCAATCTGTACGGTGCCACTACCATACTAGGAACTCCTTGGATTACAACAAGAAGTTACTCCTTGAAACTTTCTGAGATCCTTCACTGCCATAAAATGGAATTCAGTATATAGAGCTCCTAATTTTTTTTTTTAAAAAAAACTTTTTAAAATTATTATAGTTCAATATGGAGAGTTCCCCCTCATGACTCAACAGAATAAGGAACAATGAATAAGGGAATGAAATCTCTTTCCATATCAGAGCTTCAGGAGTTCAGTTCTAGGATGCCAGTTGCTAAACCAATTAACAGCCTATTACTCTTTTGGAGTAATTGTTCTTGGACTTTAGCTGCTCTCCCACCAAGGCTATTTGCTTGTCTCATAATTCCTGCTCCACAAGTAGTATGACAGGAATATTGTATACCAAAATAAGAAACAGGTTAGTGTACACACTGGCTAAATTGTACTCTTACATAATATATAAATCACTTATTTTTTCTGAAACCAATTCTCTGATTCAAAATCAATTTTAAATGTCAGGAATAAAAGAAGTTTAGTCCAAGAACATTTGGACACACTATAAATTTTCAGTCTTGATGTATGTAAATCTACTTCTATGATCTAAAAATGAACAAAAATAACTCTTATTTAGCATTAATACTTTTCATGACCAGCCACTACGGTTCAGCTTCCCATGTTCAAGATTAGCATGTTAAAGTGTATGTTAGTATGCTTCTAGAAACAGATGGAAACCATACTGCACATATTGTATTTTTTGTAGCATAGGATATAAATGCTTAAGATTGCTAATTAGAATAAATTCTAGGAAATACTGAGTAGTAACTAATACCAAAATTGCTGGCATTACTTCAAAATAATCCACTTTATTCAGTTATATCCTATTAAATTTTTTTGCTGTTTTTATTAGTTCCTTTTCTACAGTGAGTTACATCCGAAAGTTACATATCCATCTGTACTCAGTGTTCTAAAACCTTCCGTTTTTACATCCACCTACTCCTTCTTGCTAAAAATATATTTTCAAAAAAACATTTTTCTTTTTAAAAAAATCACACAGTATTAATTTGAAACTCATTCAAAGCAAGCAACACATATGTTGTAACTTTCAGCCTCTTTCTGGGTTTCTGGTTGCAAATTAGTAAAAGATAAATGGAAATGACAGGAGGCTAAGTTAGAAATTAAACATTATAGGTTATTAGTTATGAAGCAAAAAGCAAACCACAGTATGGCAAAGTATGTTATATGTGAAAATAGCCCTGTAGATTTTGCATTTGATGTTTCTTTTCACTCCACATCTACTTTAGGTGATATAACTGAAATTAAATTAAAGAAAATTTAGTACCTTACCTTACTGATGCCTAGTGCCTTACTGAAATAATTTCTTTTTCTATCATTCTAAATGCATTTCTGTTGGTTGTGACAGTACATTTCTGAAAGAGAAAATCTCATTGATTATATTGAAATGCATTTTCTTCAACTTTAGATTCCTTTATTAATTTGCCCTGAATAAATTTGTCTGAAATATGATCTATAGAAATGTAGAAAACTGTTCCATTCTATATTATTAATCATTGCTAGAAATCAAGCAGGACAGAGGAAAGAAAAAGATAATTATAGTGACATTGTTATTTCTAAAAAGAAATTTTCATTCAAAAGCCCATTTTAGTGCCAACAATTGTGCTCACTCTTACAATTAAAAATGGATTTTATTCAACCTAATACTTATATCAGAAGCCATTGTGGTTTATAAGCTATACTTTACTTTTGCTATGTAAATTCAACAATTTCTTCAATAAACCATGATTAAGCCAACCACGGCTTAGTATAGTTGAAAATACTCACAGAAAGGCTGTGATAAAAACCTGGTCAGACAGCTGGAGAAATACATACTATTTCATCACATAATTTTCCTTGCATTGTTACATTATATGAACACAAATAATGGTTCACTAAACCATGGTTATACAGTTCCAAAAAATCAGTTCTCATATTCACAATAAGCCATGGGTTGGCACAATATATGAATCAGCAATTTAATATATCGAGGCTTTTTTAGAGCTTAAAAAATATGCAACTCTAATGATACAGGGATGTCTACAGAGAAGGGTCAAAAAGGCAAGATGGCAGCCACCAGAGTATGATCGAAGAGGTCCCTACAATGGCCACATCTTGACCTTTTTGATCCTATGTTATAAACACTTGTTTATGTACAGGAAGCTACAGTTAAAACTCCCACTGAAAAGCAAAATTTTGAGGAATCTTTAATAAAGCAATGTCAATTTTCATAGAGCAATTTTTGTATTTTACCTCCATGTCTATGAAGTACATTTACCATATCTGGGCTGCAAATTTCAGTGCATCCACAAGATGGCCACAAAAAATTACTGAAACAACTAATTCATAGCTCTAATCTGGTTGCTTTTATGAATATTTCCAGTCCAGGCATGGTGGCTTATGTACCATCAAGATTTTCTTCATGATTATCAGTCCCTAACCTGTTCTTTCAAGTTTTTCAACAATATGCTCATTGTCAATGTTACTGAGTCCATCCATCTTGCTGATGGTGATCCCAAATTTTCAAATTTAAAAAGTAATAACTTGGATTTAAATAACTAGATGCCACTCAAAAATCTTTGGTAACCAGAAAAATCAATGCTGCTGTACTTGTAACATTCTATTACAATTACATGATACATTTAATTACAACTAAATAATAAATTTAGTTAGATATTTGCTCATTTAAGATACTTTAAAGAAAATTTTTAATTATTTCTTTCTTGAAAAACCCAGATAGCTGGGTCTTCACATAAAGTACCCAAAGTAGGAAAATTTGAGCCTGAGTGCAGACAGTTAGTGTGAGTTTTTTTAATAATCCAATCAACAGCACTTTTCCTCTCTGGCACCTAATCACAGCACAGACATGTCTGGCAAATAATTTTGCTGCCTCCATGATACCAATTTCATCTCATTCCCAGTCTGACTTCATTTTTAGATGTACTAATGTTAAAATAGTACTGAATCTCTCTCCTTATTTCAGCATTATTTGTCTCCAGAAACATCTGTCCAACTTCATTACCCAGAATCAGCCAAGTGGAAGGACCTGTAAAGGAAATATACCAGTTCAGCAAAGAGCCTGTATATTTCTCCGACTGGGGGCTGGCAATTTGGACTTAGGCAGCTAGTCCATCATAGTGATTAAGGTAGCAGGCTGGATCTTGGGAGACCGCAAATTCTAATCCCAACTCAGGCATGAAACCAACAGAATGACTATGGGCCAGTCACTCTCAGCCCTAGAAAGCAAACCACTTCCGAAGTCCTGCCAAGTAAACGCAGGGACTTTTCCATATGTATACCGGTACCATGACGATGGAAGATTATAAAAACGCACGAGGCTCTCTCTATATATATATTTGGCCTTAACTGAACAAGGGAAACGACCCATCATTAATATAGAAATGCCCAACTAAGAGCCTCGCGCGTTTTTATAACCTTCCATCGTCATGGTACCGGTATGTACCAGCCTTTGCCGAAAGAGCCGCTCCCCCCTCCCGGTTTCTTCAAAACTGCTTCCATTTTCCAAATCAACATTGGCTTCAATATGCAAAGCACACAGCGCGGTTTAGATCTGCCTGTGACGCTGCGCCCGCATCAGACTGAGTAACGGCTGACAGTTCCGGCCGCCCTGACTTTCTTTTAGACACGCCTAACGGAAAAGCTAAGGCAGCCCTGCCTTCTCCAAAGGGCAGACTCTGATAACCCCCGAATCCGGCCGCTCCACTTTGCCGGGGAAAGGAAACCCGAAAGAGCACGCATGCGCGCGCGGCAGCCGTGCCCTGCCGCCCGCCCTCGAGCTTCTAACCAATGGCAGAAGAGAAGGGGGCCGAGAGCGGTGGGCGTGGCTGCGGTGGTTCGGGCTCTGCCCCTCAGTACCGCGACAGGGTAGGTCTACGCAGTTTTGTACACAGTCCGAGTGCGTCGGGGCGCGTGCGGAAGCCGTTTGGCCTTTCTCTTGGCCGCGCGGCGGGTGGCCCCCGGCTATGGCTGCTGGCGAGGGTGGCGACGAAGAGGTGCGAGTGCTGCAGACTCTCCGCGGAAAGATTTGTGAGTCACTGGGGAGGGTGGACTATCCGCACCCGCTTGTGTGTGTGTGTGTATACACATGTGTGCGTGTATGTATGTATATGTGTACAAGTCGGTGGCCAGAGAGAGCAAACGAGAGGGGCAGAAAGAGAGGGGAGTACGTGTGAGGGCGGAGGTCGGAGACGAGGCGGCAGAGCCGGAAGGAAGTGCCTGTGCCTTGAAGCGGCCTCACTGACTCATCCGCCCCAGCCCTCCAACCCCTGCTGCTTCCCCGGGTGCTTTCGGCGGGTGTGTTGCCTGTGTGTAGGAGTAGATTAGTCCGCCTCATGGCGAAAAAAAGCTACAGGCAGTCGGGGTGGAATATCTGTAATGCAGTAATTGTGATTAATTGACTTGTTGCTGTCCCTTCTGGTTTTGATAGGTTGCTTTTTACTCCTCTTATTGGAGGGGATTTTTATAAGCCACTCCGAAGATTGCATGGATTAAACTCTCTGGAAAATAAAAATAAATACTAGGAAAGTGTAGTGAGAGAAATCAATACACGCGTGCACCCCTATCAAAAAGGGAGAGGAGGGACTGAAGGTTGAGAGAAAGTAAAAAGAAAATAGAAGGGACTTCCAAAAGGAAGATTTTTGCACAGGGATAGATGATGTGTGGGTATAACATGACTTTTTAGCTGGGAACCTCGAGGCTTGTAATCCATTAGGATCTGAGAGCATCAGGGTGGGAAAAGCTGGCATATTAAGTAAATGGGATATTTGTAAGTTTTGGAACCACTAACTATTTGGTAAAAGGGATGCATAAGTCAAGCAAGGCAGTCCAATTTTTTTCTTGCCTGAAGCTAACTGTTACTTGAAAGTGTTTATTACATGTTACATTTGATGCTTGTTTCCCAATTCTGACTTTATGTGGAAACTTCTGTGTGGTAACACTTAATGTTTTAAGTGAAATTTAATTTGGCTGTATAGGTAGGCTTATATGACAAATCCTTGACATTTCTATTCATAAGTAAGTTTAAGAGGATTAATTATGCTAACCTATTGAACGACAAATTGTATTTTGATAGATTTAAAAATAACATTTAAGGCTTAAAAGTAAAATACCAAAGAGTACTTTCTAACAAATCCTATATAACTTTAACATCCTAGGTTGTATCATGTCAAAACAATATTTGGCACCTAGAGTCCATTGCTATCACCTGATCTTTATAATAGGTTACAAGTGGCTGTGATAGGAGAGAAATGAAATAAAGCTGTAACTAGTCTTGCAAGCCAACTGCATTTCTAATAGTATAACAAGATATCCTTGATCACACATTAAATGCCAAGAGAAACTACTGATTTAAATTGAGCTTACCATTGATAAGTCTTCATGTATTTGGTAAATGGTGTACATCTGATTGAATGGATGTTGCCGCCACTACAATAGAGTTTAAATCATATTTTTATATGTAAGAAACTTTATGTACACATATATAGAAATGCAGCTCCAGGTCTTAGAAATTATTGGAACAACCATAAATGAAAAACACAAGTGCATATCAAAATTTGAAAATGAATATACGACATATACAGTATAATTCCATGTTTAACAACCTTTGGCTTATTGATCAATGAATTAATAAATGAATTATCATAGTTCAAAATGTATCTTGTTCTGAAACTTGTAGAAATCATATTTTTATTTACGCACTCCAAATTTAATTTATAGCTTGGAATAGAAGTATCGTTTTCCCTGTTTTCACTCCAATTCTTAGATATTTTTAACCTTTGAGAAAAGAATACAAAATAATGCAGATATTCGTTCCTTGCCTACCAAGAAAGATCTCTGAGGTGAAGGAATTAGACCAATTAAAATGCCTATGCAATGGTTTAGTTCAAAGGATTTGACTAATGATTTTAGCAATTCATAATAATTAGCTTCTCTAACATCTTACCTGTTGCTTGAATAGTTATTACTGTAACCATGACATTTTAATGAAAATGTTAGCATTTATAGATTTTAATTTCTAAAAAGTTGTTCTGGATGAAATTGAGATTTGTTTGAAAGCAACCTTTTTCAAGGGGGAAATATTTTGTTATTTGCATGTAGTTTATTAGGATATTTTATAAATGACCATAGTATGGGAGGAGAGTATTATATTTATTATTAAACTTGATATAACAGTGGCTATCAAAATGGGTTGAAAGTTAATATGATGTTGCTGGCAAATATAATAATGGGGCATCTTAACTTGATAGAAAACGTAAGATAGTCTGAGATATAAGGAATAGAAAAGTGATAATGTTATGAGTCAATTTTAGGGTAACCGGAACAAACAGGATGTAGTGGTTTTGTTGAAATGGGAGGAACTGAAGTACTTTCATGTAAGTCAAATGTAACCCATTTCCTTTCTCACACATTTGAAATAATTGCAAGAAAATGTTTTCAATGAAAATGTATTTTGCAATGTAGTCTTTTGTTCTAGATTTGGTTTAAAACACGCCTGCTTTCAAAATCTTTACTATTTACAGTGTATATTACACTTTCAAAATAGCCAGTGGTATTTGATTTTATCTCAAATTTCTGTGCTGTATCAGTTTCTCACTGAGATGCCAGAGTTTTAAGGAATAAGAACCTGTGATTAAAGCATATCCCAATTCCTACAAATAAATTTTTAGAACTATTGAATTTCACTCTGCTTATGTGTTTAATAAAAATTAGTGAAATAGTATATGTATATATATGCTTTTGGGCTTTGGAATATATTTATACATGTCTGATATTGGATAACCAAAGAATTTATATTTCAACATGCTTTGCATGCTAATAATATGATACTTTTAAAAGGTATTCTTTTTCTGTTTCTGTTAGTATTTGTTAGTGTAACAATGTAGATTTGAAGGGAGAAATGAGATATGGTGTCTTCACTATCAAAACATGCCTTGCTCTGACCATACAAGCCCAAGAAGAAGCATTTTTAAATGATTTGCTTAATTCATCCTGCATGTGTCATTTAATTTTCCCCCCAAGTTGAATTCAGATTGCTATAGATCCCTAGTATTTGTATAGTGTTTTTGTAATGTTTTTAGATAATAAGGTTATTGAGATAATAGGTTGTTTTTTAAATACCTCTAATAAATTAGGGTTACCTTAGTAGTAGATCTCTTAATATAGGGCTGTACACTTGTCCTTAAAGTAGATTTCTGACAGGTTTACTTCTCAAAATAGTTGAAATATGAACGAACATTAGGTGAGATTTGTATGAGATTAAAATATAATGTATAGTTAGGCTAAATTAAATGGAGTTCTATGATGTGTCCATGTGCATTTTTCTCAATCTTGTGACTTTCTTATGTGTTTCCTAATCATACAGGCTGGGATTTATGGAAATTGTGTTTCACCACAAGAATTCCAAAATTGTGGTAGACTTTTATAGCAGTACATATCATAATAATGTTTATTGGCTACTTACTTCAGTCTGCTATTATTTTTTTAACATGATGAGAATAAAGGCACATCAACATTTCATTTGTAAATTGATTGTACCATGATTTTCTTCTACACTGAATTAAAAATATTTTATTTTGTCATTAGGTCAAGCCAAAAACTTAGTGCCATATTTAGGACCAAATAAAATGAGAGACTGCTTTTGTACAATCAATTTGGATCAAGAAGAGGTGTTTCGTACTCAAGTGGTGGAAAAATCTTTAAGGTGAGATTCTAATCATGATGTCAGCCTTACTAAAAGTAAACTTTAGTTAGAAAGCAAACCTTAGTTAAGTTAGAAAATTGAAGGGGTATTTTATTCATTATATTTATCTATAGTATTAACATGTTGGTTGACTAAATAATATATCAGTGTAGCAGATGTTCATCAGAGCTCTGCTTGTTATATTGTGTTTCTATTAATTGGAACTGAGGATATAGAAGGAATGGAAATGTGCAAAAATTGTTAATCCAGGAACAGTCTTGGACAATTCAATTTCAGAGTTGGCTTGGTAGATTCTAGAAGTAAATCATGAATTATAAGGGTTGGAAGGAAGCTTTGAGTTAGAATAATAGCATCTAGCTTCCTTAGTCCACATCTCTGGAAGATGACAATCAAGCCTCGGTGTAAGAATAAACCACTTCCTAAGGCAAGCCTGTTCCACTGCTAAACATCTGTTAATGTAAATATTTTTCTTGATGTCCAATTGAAGTCGTCTTTGTAATTTAAAAACATAATTTCTTGCCCACTAATGCAGCACAGAACAAGGCTTCAGTTATTTGGAAACAGCTGTCCTATCTTCCCACAGGCATTTCTAGTTCATACTAAACATATTCAGCATCTCTAACTAGGATATTGCCACAATGGAAAAACAGTATCAGGGCAACTGAATCCTATCAATGCTGGCGGACTATTGCTGGACACTACAGCAAAATGCATTGGACTCTGAGTAAACGAAAATCAGCAAAACACTTTTGGCTTGATATCAGAAACATGCAATTAAAAAAATAAGAGTTAATTTCATATTTCTCAAGATTCCCATGTACTGCAGTAATTCTGAAATTGTATTTGTGTTCAGTTTGAAAAGATCATAATCACTTCAGGAGCAAAACCTGGATAAAACTTTGTATTTCCAGAGTAATCTTTTTGTTCACACTGTTGGTCAAGCCTACTGACCCAGTAAGACACTCAGATCCTTTTTGCATTTTCTATTGCTCAGTATGATCTTGCCCATTCTACATATGCATTTAATTTTTCCTATGTAAATAAAGGACGTATTTATGCTTCCTAATGCGTGGTCTAGTTGTTTTCAGTCAGTTGTTCCAACTGTTAAGATTCTTGAATTTTGACTGCCCTATACAATGTTTATTATTCTTCCCCCACCCGATCTTTGTCATATGTAAATTAGATCATATCTAATCACTCATCAATCAAATAAAATGCATTATATAGTACAGGGCTTAGAATGGAGCTCTGCTTTAATTTTCAGTTTATATAGCCATCTTGCATAAAGCTAATTTGGCATAGTAGAAATCAGGAGACTGGAGTACTAGGTCTCTCTTAGGCATGAAAACTGCCTCGATGATTGAGACCAGTCACTCTCAACCCAACCTACCTTTCACCTGCTCTTCTGGGATAAATAGGCAGAAGTATTCAGTATGGAGAGGAGAAAAAAGCAAAATAGAAAAATTTTGTCCTCTGCCCATTCCTGTTTTCATCCTATAGTCATCTTCTACATACCTCCTCCTTCCTCTTGCTTCTGACATCATTTAAAAAGGTTTTTTGTTCCTCAAATTCTTTTGCTCCCTATGCTATCACAATATTCTTTCTAAAATTATTTGCTAGTACGTTTCCTTGGTGATTGCACCTATTCTCCTTTTCCTAAATAATCCTTTTGATTCTTAGTTTTCTTAGTTTATGCTTCCACAACATTTTTTCTGTGACTTTTAAAAAATTTTTCATTGAACTAGAGGGCGAGTGTACATTCAGTACTGTCAGGCCCCAAGAACACATGTAAAATTACATCTATAGTTTTCTTTACTGTTCTTATAGACAGAATCTTGCAAACTGAAGTGACTATCTGCATAACTATATATATATATTCTGTGTACTGCTAGGGAGCAACTATTTGAAGTTCATTCCTACAGACCAAACTTCAAGTTCCATTGTCTCTCTGCCTTCTGGAAATCAGCCCTCCCTCCTTGGAATCCAGACTACAGTCCACCACAACTACCTTGCTTTGGAGACATTGTCAACCCTTTTCTATTTCCTTTGGCCCAAGGATTTCTATCCAAGGTGACCTACCCAGAATTTTTTTAAAACTTCCTCAAGTTGGCTCTCCTAAAATCTAATGTGTATGCACAACCATCTCCAGTTTTTCTTTCTGCTTGTTGGACTACTGCAAGCAAGGCAGGACTGGAACCAATTAGGCAAATTCAAATCCAAGCATTCCTGATAAGTGATTTTTTGTTTGGAAAAAATACAAAGCCATAATAACAGAATTCCAGCGATTACAGTGTTTCAACTGCAAACACTTTTCATAGATTTCAGACTTTTTTGCATTTTATTATTTCTCATGCCCTATATAAGGATTACTTAGCCCCAGTTTGGGCAAGGGAAAAACTGTGTTCTTTGTTTAGAAAACAATTTGATTTGTGATCATGTTGTCTCTCACTGACTGCAGGAGATTAACTCTCCCATTTAGTATCTTAGACTCACAATAACATAATTTCCTCCCAAGATTTTTAGTGCTTTTAACTCTTCAGTGAAAACTTCTTTATTGATTAGAATCACATTGGAACAGCAAATCGTATATTTTTTCAGCTTTCTGCAAAAGCCATAAGCAAGACCACAGACTGCAATATTGGCTAAGTTGGTTTTCCAGTGGAAATGTGGATATTTTAAGTCTCCATTATTAATGCATCTGATTTCTAGAAGGTTCTGAATTCTAGCTTGGAACAGCATTATTCCTGTCTTTTACCTGACTTGGTTCAATCAATATCATCTCAGCAAGATAATATTTTTTGCTATTTATCCTTCTCTGTTCTTAAGCAATCTGTCTATATTAGACCTCTGTGCTCAGATTCTTGGATGACTATACATACGGATTTCCTTTACATAAAATGCCACTGTTCCCATTTTTTTCTGGCCTATTCTATTTCAGAAAGTTGCACTCTGTTCATGAGGTTCATCTCAGCAATAGGGCCTACTGAATTATACTTTATTTTTTCTGTTTGTTCCTTATACACTCCTAAGGAACAATCTGCCTTAGAAGTCAAGAATAGATACCATTCTTAAGGCATTCTGGAAACAGGTAAAGACTTGATAGTAGACAGTTTCCAAAAAGTTTCTGGAGTTTTTATATAGAGAATGGCATTTGCAAGAACAGTAAAAAGTTCTTAGGAATAACATTGTTTAATAAAATATGTATCTTAATGTTAATGAGGAAGGCTATGCTAAAATTAGCAGAATAATTAGCAAAATAGAAGGAGAATCCCTTTATAAAAATTTGTAACTTACAAATATAAAGCAGACAAGTTGCAAAATAATCAGGTAGTTTGCTGATTTGTTTTCACAGTCCATTTTTTGGAGAAGAGTTTTACTTTGAAATACCAAGAATATTCCAGTATTTATCATTCTATATTTATGACAAAAATGTTCTACAGAGGGACCTGCGTATAGGTAAGAAATAACAATTGATGAATTAATATTTATGGGTTGTTTTGTTATATTGAATATAAAATTGTTGATCATTAAGGGCTTGCATTTCATTTTTTAAAATATAAAATATATGTTCTACATGATGTGAAGCTCAGGTAATTTTCTATTCCAAATAACTAAATTAACACATGCCATTTGAACTATCAAGAGCCACAGTGATGCAGTGGTTAGAATGAGGTACTGCAGGTTACTTCTGCTGACTACCAGCAATTTGGCAGTTTGAATCTCATCAGGCTCAAGGTTTGAATCTCATCAGGCTCAGCCTTCCATCCTTCTGAGGTGGGTAAATTGAGGACCCAGATTGTTGGGGGCAATATGCTGACTCTGTAAACTGCTTAGGGCTGTAAAGCACTGTGAAGAGGTATATAAGTTTAAGTGTTATTGCTATGATCAGTTTGGCTAAATAAAATGTTCTGGGATAACATGCAAAACCAGACATTTCATTGTGAATTTTTTTCTTAATTCATCTTAAAACAATGGTGGTTATATTTACCATAGCTTCCTAATGCTACAATGAAAAGTAATGCTACAATGAAAAGTAATGCTAGATTATATTTTTAAAATGATGTTTAGGATATAGAGCAGTAGTGGCTAACCTTTTCAGCACCAAGGGCCAAAATGGGAGCGCGTATATGTATGCCGGAAACTAGAAGAGCAGCTCCCTGACACATAGGAGTACAGGAAACTGGAAGCTTAGCTTCCCAACACACACATGCGCCAGCCATCTGGTCTTCTGGTTTTTAACACACATGTGCACATGAGGACCAGCTGGCCGATGTGCATGCACTCCAGGGAGCTGCTCTTCTGGTTTCTGATGCTCCTGCGCACATGAAGACCAGTGGGCCAGCGCACATGCATGCACCGGAACCCAGAAACACAGTGGACGACGGCTAGTGTGCCTGGAGAGATGGCTCTGTGTGCCACTTCCGGCACACGTGGCATAGGTTCACTATCACGGATATAGAGTATTCTGATGCAAATCTTTTCTAGAGCTGTGTTAGATGAACATAATACTTGTTTTTAAATTAATATGCCCATTCAATTTTTCTTTTAGGTAAAGTAGCTATCAAAAAAGAAGATTTGAGCATATATTCTGGCAAGGAAACATGGTTTATACTTCAACCAGTTGATTCTAACTCAGAAGTTCAGGTAAAATTAAATAAACATGAAAATGAATGCTGATATGTGTATAGTGGTGCTTACATGTTTATAAATCCATGTGTATTAGCTGAATTTCTGCATAATTATAACATAAATGTGAGCTATTTTCCTCACGTCCTAAAACTAGATAAAAAGAATTAAACAAATGAGTCAAAAATATATTTGTTCTTTTGGGGAAAATGATCCAAAGTTGCATGTATGTGGCAAAAGTATGTGAACTTCTAGGACTATCAGTTCATTTGAAGAGAAAATTAGTGGTCATTATCGATGTCATGATAATCAGGTGTGACTGAAGTCCAGCCTTATTTAAACAACAAAATTCTGGGTATTTACTATCAAACTCTGATCTTCACGATGCAAGTATGTGGGAGTGTGTCATGACTTAAAGAAAGGAGATTTCTGAGAACTCTAAAAACTGTTGATACTTATCAGGCTGAAAAAGATACAAGACTGAAAAAGATATAGAAAAAGATAAAGAGTTTGGATTCCACAAGTCCACCACTGGATAGATTGTATACAAATGGAGACAGTGCTAAACCAGCTTCCCTTTGCTATAGAGACCTGAAAAAGTCTAAAAAGCTTTTATCACTATCATCAACGGTTGTTAAATAAGGTAGTCACTAAATAGGACTACCTGAATTCATGATTTTCCCTTTGGGGGAAATTGGATTAATATTCTACCATATGTTCTCTTCAACAGTTTTTACTTACGTGAATTATGTGCTTCCATGTTATCAATTGTTCCTTAGAGGAAGTGGAAGCAATATATATTGTTTGTTAATATTAATTACTTAATATTTGACATCCTAGTGGAATTTATTCAGTAAACAATAATTTAAATCCAACATTTTCAGAGGAAGATGTTAATTGGTAATATTTGGGGTTTTATTCTTTATGGAAACAGCTTTCAGTTTTTCTGCTAAAGTTTTTATACTCTGATGGTAATTTTTGGAAAACATTTTGAAAACATGTAGAATATAGTATTGGCAACATAATAAAAAGTATAATTTGACAGACTTTCAACTCAATGTTTTTCCTCTTTACCAACAGGGAAAAGTACATCTTGAATTAAAATTAAATGAACTGATTACAGATAATGGATCTGTATGCCAGCAGCTAGTAGTACAGTAAGGCTATTTATGAATTCTTTTCAAAAAAATGTTTGCTTATCGAAACTAAATAAGTAGATGAAAATGTTATTACTGAACCATTATAACTAAGTAGGAAAATTTCCAAATGTAAAACACCTTTGAAATTTACTTTTGTTTAATAATGACTGAAATTTATAATTATAAAAATTATAAAACTTATAAAAAAAACCCTTATAATTCAATTTTCTGAACTTGGGGAAAACATTACTTTTCCCATCTTTTTTTTTTTTTAAAGAATTTTTGTATTTAACATGCAATCTATTAGTTTTCATTTATTTTTCCAACTGCAAATTTCATATCTGGGGGAGTTAAAGCAAGACTTGTGTACCCAAACTTTTGAGCGTTAGCACATTATAAAATTTCATGTAACTGACGGGATATAAGTGCATAATGGGCCCAGTAATATTTGAGGGTTTTTATGTATTTTAAGAAATATAAACTTGTATCTAAATAAAAGTAACAAAACACTTAAATGTGTAGAAAAGCACAAAAAGATAAATATTACCAAGATTTTATTTTGATAGATGACATGGTAGATCTTGACAAACATACATGCAGTTTTTCTTTCAGGTATAGCAAGAGATATTAAAACCTTGGATCTGAGCCCATATCAGTCAGATAACTAGCAAAGAAATGATTACATGCTCAAAACTGATCATTGACAAGGAAAATGTAACTTAAGGTTTCTGAAATTCTTACCTTTTATAATTTCAAATGTTATTTTTTGTTTTCATAGGGATCTTGAACAATCCATACATTAATTAGTATATAATCTACAGTTTTAAAAAGCATCATGTAATCTATCATATAAAAGATATGTAGGATGGGATCATTTTCAGAAGAGATTAATAAAAAGTGAAACCTATAAATAGGGTCAGTTGGCATTTTGTTGCACTATGGATTTATTTATATTTCATATTTCTAAATACCCATCTTCATCAAAGAGAGGCTCTGGGTGATGTACAGTATCAATAATTGATAAAGCAATGTGTAAAATTAACATTAAAATTAAATTAGGGTTAAAAAGAATTAAAATGATAGAATAATGACATTGTAAACTTCGAAAGGATAAAAATCCGAAGATGGCCATTTAATGTTGGTTATTACACGGGAGCCCTCTCGTGGACTAGCCAGCTCCGTGGTTGGTCCTTTGTGTTTCCCATGCAAGGCTGCAGAACAAAGTTTTGAGAGAGAATGGAGGCATCCACAAGAGAGTGGTGGCATCCTTCATTTCTCAGGGCAGGATGTTCCATATTGTGGGACAGTGGCAAAGAAGGCTCTCTTCCTAGATACTACCAAATGAAATTGATTGCTAGTCTGCAGCATACCTTTCCTGCCTGAATAAGTGAGACAGGCTGATGAGATGGGGTGAAGCTGGTTCTGTAGGTAACCTGGTCCTAAGCCATGTAGGGTTTTATAGGGAATGACCAAGACCTTGAATTGGATCAGAAACAAACTGGTTCTTGGTGCAGTGTGTGGAGCAAGGGTGTTACATGCACCCTTCCTGAGGCATCCAGTATTGTTCCTACAGTCACATTCTGCACCAGCTGAAGCTTCTGGATACTTTTCAAGGCTAATCCCATGTAGAGCGTGTTGTAGGTGCCCAATGTTTAATGTGAAGATACAGCCACCATATGCTCTTCAAGCAGGAACTGTGAGTCTAAGACCATCCCCAAGTTATGTTCTGGGTGTTTCTGAAGTAGGAACCCCATCGAAGACCAAATATGATAAACTCCTGGATACAGAAGCAATGGGTGGACTCATTTTACTGGGGTTCAGCTGAAGCTTGCTGTTCTCTGTCCAGATCCCTACAGCTTCCAGACATCACAAAAGGATGTCCACGGCAACACATTTCACCTTGGACAGAGATATATAACTGAGCATCATCAGCGTATTGGGATGCCTTGTCCCACAGAGACAGATAGTTTGTATTCATATTGTTAAACATAGGTTTTTAACTGTGGTATAACCCAGTAGAAATTATCTTGTAATTCTATATGTAGAACATTTGTATTGGCTCAGAATTTCAGAAGATCCAGCAACAAATTTCCCATAAATTCTTTCTCTGTGTTTCTTAAGCATATAAAGGATAACAATACTAGTTCTACATACAAATGCCACTTGAGATGAACCCTGTTACATAGAAGGAGAGTTTTGAAAACTTACCTTTTTAAGAAAGCCTAGGAGAAGTTGAACTCTCATCTTGACTTGTGGTTGGAAATTTGTTCTGAATGTTTTAATAATGTTCTGCTATTATTTCATTTTATCACACTTATTGTATTTTAACCTTTTTACTGCAGTCGTCCATCTCTCTGAATAATTATTTCTATTGTTGAGCTCCAGTTATCACTAGAAAGTTCTTTCTAAATTAAATTGGAATCTGCCTTCTGTAACATAAATATGTGAGACCATTGCCTGGTTTGTGGAATGAGAGATGATAGGTCTTGCTATGTGAGTCTCAGGTTTTTGAAGAGTGATAGCACATCCCACCCCCAATTTGTTCTCTCAAGATTAAATGCACATAGCTTCTAGAATGGAGCAGCTATTAAAAAAAAACCTAATGACTTAGAATTATTAATATATGTTTTTAAAAGTTATTGACAAGACAGTGAAAACTGAAAACATGGTTGCTGACCTGTATGAAGAATATATGTCCGACTTCCGGTTTGAAGGGCTTCGGCGACAGACAGAAATCCGTGATCGTGCAAGGTTTCTGTCTGGGCTCACCACTGGAGCGCCCCAAGCAGGCTGGTTTCGGGGCTAAGCCACCCCGTAGAGGTGGTGAAGAGGGGGGAGACCACCAGCAGGGTCGAGCAGAGCTGCATCTCCTTAGCTGGCCATTACTCCCTTTCCCGAAGGCGGTTGCAGTGATGGTCAGAAATGGCCACCACAAAGAAGAACTCGACCAGAAAAGAATGTGCAGGAGGAAGATAAGAAGTGAAAGTTTTAGCTGACCGGATTAAATTGTAAAAGCAACAACCAAGGTACCCTGGAATTTAAACTTACAAAAAATAACATTGCTCTCAAAGAAGAGTCGGAAGCAGCAAAGGAAAGTGAAAAGGGAAAGGTTTGGCTTTTTTTTTTTTCTTCCCTCCTTCCCTATACTGACAACTAAGAGACTTAAATAAGAAATCGGAAAAATCCGCTTTGACATCAGTAGGCAATTAAGCTGAAAATAAAACAAAATGCCAAAGGGATAATAAAGATTCTGGACATTAAAAACTTTCTTTTTCATAAGCAGGAAGGGAGAGAAAAAGAATAAGGGCAGGATCTGGAAGAGGGAGGAGACTGCCTGGAATTAAAAAGAATCTACAGTAAAACTTCAACAAGACTTCTAAAAGATACATTTTAACTGAAACTTTGCAACTAAGCAGTAACCTCAAGAAGAGAAAGTGAAAAAAAAAGAGCAAAAAGAAACAGCTTGCATGTATTTGGATTATTTGGTGATCTTTGGATTTTTGGTTATTATATTTGAATGACTAAAATCAATCGGGTGGTTGATTAAAAATTTATACAATGGCACCACTTCTGGATGAATTGAAAATGGAACTTAAAAAGTACAAAGAAGATGCACAAGAAGGGAGGGGTTCTTTTGGCTTCATCTTTCAATTCTTAGAAATGGAGATTTGGAACTATGAGAAACAACAAGAAAAGACTCCAAAACAAGAAGACTGGGACAAAGAAGAAGCCATCTTTAATGAACAAGTAATTCTATGTGGGGAAGAAAAAGGAAAGGGGGGAAAGAAAATGGAGAATTTAAGACTTAAAAAAACAACCAAAGAAAAGAAAAATAATTCAAAAAATAAGTATAATACTGGAAAGCAACAGAAAAGGGGAATATAGAAGAGAGAAATAGAGGTAGAGAGACAAGAGGGTAAAAAGGAGAGAGAGAAGAAGAGAGGGAAGAAGGAAAGGAAAAGAAGTTACAAAGGACCGGAGCAAGATATAGAGAAACAGGACCTATTTAGAGATAATGGGTGAAAATCTAACTGAAAAAGGGATTCTGTAAAAGTACATAAGATTGTATTGTTATATTAGTAATAGAAATAACTTTAGAAAATTGGAAACAACGTATGATTAAAATGAGGGATAAAATAGTGTAATTTAGTGAAATGTTTGTGAATAAAATAAGTGAAATAAAATAAATGAGAAAATTGAATTAGGAATGGGAACATTTTAATTAGTTAATGTTTTATAAAATATAAGTGAAGGGTTGGGAATTAACTATGGAAAGCTTATAATTGTTCCCATAGAAGTATGATATTTAATTGAAAAGTAATGTTAAAAATGTTAAGACTTTAATGAATATTAATATTAATGATAGAATTGAATTGGAATGGAATGTTGTTTTAATTATATACATTTATAATTTTTTTTCCTTTTTTTAAGAATACTGTGTGTATTTTAAGAATGTACCAAGCAGAATCCGAATGGAAGTTATGTATTATATTGAATGTTACAACTTTAGGGAAAAGATATAAAGGCGTCATACTCCAATCAGTAACTACAGGAGAAATTTTGTTTAGTGAGAAAAGATAATAGATAATTGAAACAGGACAGAGAAAAAATATAAATACAATGATTTGAATTGAGATGAGATAATTAAAATAAAATTGAGAAAATTAAAAGAGGGGAGAAGCTATGCAGAAAATGTAAAATAGTAATAAGATATGGAATAGAATATAAAAATGAGCATGAACCTGAATTTGTGTCTATACGAAGAAATGTAACCCGGGATTATGCTGCTTTCAAAAAAGATGTTTTATTTGTATTTTTTTTTCTTTTTGTGAAAACTCAAATAAAATTTACCAAAATATATATATATATGTCCAACACCAGCTGACAGTTGGATTAGCACAACTTATTTTTCACTTATCTATCAGATGTAACATATTTTAAATGAACTGCAACTGGACTAGTAATTTCCTTTTTTCTCTTTTTAATTCTAGGTTGAAGGAATGTCATGGGCTACCTCTTATTAATGGGCAAAATTGTGACCCTTATGCTACAGTATCTGTTGTTGGTCCTTCAAGGTAACTAGTTAAAATGTATTGAAGTTGCCAAGATAATAGTTTAAAATGTACGTAAGCTGAGAAAATAGGTTGATATTAGTGCACCAGTTTTCAGTTGATAAATGTCTCATTAACAAAATATACAGAGTTAATGCACATTTTAAAATAGTATTATATGATAGATTAAACTGAATTATAGGTCTACATATTGTGGGTCTCCATATAAGACAATATAGAGGCATGTTTTTAAAAAATGCCAATATGCCTATTATGCATGAAAATAATCTGAATTAAATTTCAAGTCCTTAACGTAATGCTCTGGGATAATATTGTGCCTATATCCTTGGCTTTTTGTAGGCACTGTGCCTCATATAATACTTTTTGGACCAGCCATGTCACTGTAAAGTCAAGAGTTGGGAACCTTGGGCTCAACTCTGCTTTTGGATATGGAAGCTGACATACTGTCTGTGGACAACTCACTGCTCTTACCCCAATTTACATACTGGATTTCTGTTGGGGGGGAAATGTATATGTATACTGTTTGAGCTTCTGAAAGAAATATGGGGTATAGAACTTACAAAAGCACACATTAGTTGCATCCCCATGACAGCAAGTATTATCCACACTATTCATGTGGAATTCAGAATATGCAGCTAGCTAAACTAGAAAACTATTAAAGAATGCTAGTTTACTGTTGTCTCTACAATATTTTTATTCATTATAGTCACTTTGTTGCTCCTCCCAAAAATTCTGGTTTCTGGTACTTTCTTTTTATTCAGTATTGCATATAAAGATTCCCTCCCTGCTCACATTGATATTTAGATTATAAGAAGAAAGACTAGTCTGCGTGGTTCTACTTTCCCTTCAGTCATTGATTCCCTGCTTGGAGAAAATACCTAATAAAAGACTATTGTGTATCTATACAAAATTGTATGAATATAAGAAAGCAATAGTAGATAGAGAATTTATAAAATGCTAATATAAATGTAAAAAATGGAATTCTATAATTCTTAATTTGCTTCAGACTGCAATAAATAAATAGCATTTCATTTATAAATGATTTTATGAACTCTGTAATTCTAAATCTTCCTTGAAATTTTCTACGTAGTTTTTTTTCTAATAAGTATCCCACATAATCAAATTGTAGTAGGTTTTTAAATCCCGAATGGCCAAAATCTTCCCAATGTATTGAATACAAACTGTATGTGTAGTTTATATATATTTTTTCAGATGCAAATATTTACCTAAGTACTTAATATTTTTAAATTTTTTAATGGGGCTATACAATTTCAAGGAGTCAGTGATGTACTTGGGTGGTTTTTAAAAAGTCTTTTAATTTTAAACTAAAAAATAAATCCTTAATCACATAGATTAATCCTATTAATTACAACAATATATATTAAGACCTGTATGGTAAAACTGTATTATATTGAAACAGGAATGATCAAAAGAAGACAAAGGTAAAGAAGAAAACAAGCAATCCACAATTTAATGAAACATTTTATTTTGAGGTAACTAATTTCTTATCAATATAATGTTGACATTCTGCCCATCAATTTATTCTGTACTGCTTTTATTGTTAGCTATTTAAATGGTAATTTTGAATCAATTTGTAAAATTTTAGGATCAATGTGCATTGGTACTTTCATATTTTCTTGGGTGTAAAATCATGAAAAAAATAGTAAGGAGAAAGGTTATGATGAACAGTCTATGTAAAAAGATTCTAATGACAACAAAAGCTCACAAATTGCAACCATGTGGGCCACAGGACATTACAACTGGTTGTAAATGTGACCCTGTTGCCAAGTTGAATTGTAACCATGTGACTCGAAGGTGCTGCAATGTTTATGTGAGTATAGGTCATAAGTCACTTTTTCCCAAGTGGTATAACTATGAACCATCATTAATTGAATGGTCCGAAGTTGAGAGCTAGCGGTAATCAATATATACGATTTCCACTATAATAAAAGCATCAGATAAATGCTTATACACAATAGAAATTAGAAAATAATCATATTTATTTGATGTGTTGGTTTTCCTTGGCCAAAACTCTGATATACAAGGCTCAGCTTTATATATACCAGATTACCAGAAAACTTGAAATGAACAATGTTGACACCATTTTACAACTTCTTCAATATATTGTATTGAATGCATACACGCAAATTCCAACACTATCTGTATAGAATTTAGCATGCATACTATGGTGAAACCTCATTCAACTATAGACAATTTTGGAAGAAAAAAGGAAGCTCAGATTTCAAAATAAATAGGTCTATAATGATTTTTTTTCTCCTCTTCAGCATTAATGCCTACTAGATTTTTATATGCTTTACCTAGCACTAAAAGTTGTTTCAGTACTTACATAGGAGTGAATGGGAATTACACATTGGATTCTATCATTTTATCTCAGATGATTCAATAATGATGTTGGCCTGGAATTATTAATATGAGTGTTTATTATTACTGTCGACATGAAGCTATAGAAACATGAGTACCAGCCTTTTTCTTCCTCCCTTCACTTTAACGTGAAAGTTCTGGAATATTTAAAAAGTGTTGAAAAGGCTATATGAGAGATTATTTTTAAAATAACAGTAGGATAATATACTAAACTGCAAGACAGCTATTAAAATAGCATTTTTGTGACAACTTCTGTATTTTCTGTATTATGTTCTTCCTAGAAGAATGCTCGCTCTTGTTGTTTTCACTAACATCTGAACCTGGAACTTAAACCAAGATTTTGTACCAATTCAGAATAAAATTATAAATGCTGTCAGAATTTTTTAAAAAAACTTTAAAAATTAAGGGTTAATTAACTAAATTTTTATGATATCAAAACCTGGGCCCTGAGCTTTAACTGACAGGAGTAAAACAAAGATTAAGCATAGTTTTCTTATGTTTTATATAGATTATTAAAATGCTTTTTAGAGCTGACCATCTCACAGCAGTGACTGTTATCATTGATATTTTCCAAACATATTTACTGTAATATTCTTCCTTACATTTCAAGTTATATGTGTTTCTACTTAAAATTTGATCCATTTTCCAGTAACAAACAATGTTAGAAAGGCATAGCTATTAGGCTGGATTAAATGGGTATTGCTAAAAGAGAAACAAATTACTTTTTAAGTTTTATTTTCAGGTAACTAGGTCCAGTAGTTACACCAAGAAGTCACAGTTTCAGGTAGAAGAAGAAGACATTGAGAAACTGGAAGTCAGGTATATTCTTCAACATATTAAGATTAATTCAGATATGGTAATCAAAGCAGACAATGCTTCTTACAATAAAAGTAAAAAATGTTGCTGTGTAATTGCTGAAAATGATCGAGATAATTAAGTTTGGGATGAGATTCAGTTTAAAACTGGCCTTGAAAAAAATGCCTTCAAAAACAGCAGTTGAAGCATATTCAGGAACGCAATTTATTAAGTCAAAGGCAGCATTTATTCTAATTGTGTATAATAAGCATCTGTGGCTAATAAGTAAATCATATTACAGTTAGTGCTATTGATTTTAAAGTACATCTAAATAACTGTTCAGACATTTTAACTGGCTTGTGACTTACACATTTCTTACTATGAAACAAAAACATTTGCATTTGGAAAAATATACAATGATGGAGTGAACAAATGCATATACACACCTCTCAATGCAATAAGTTTTGAGAAGGAATTATAATTGGAATATTTTGAAGAAAAGAATATACTATTTCTTGATCCGACTTCAACTAAACCTTTTCTGTAGGGTAAGTTAGAACATCTGAATTCATATCACAGTAGGTATAACATTTAGGGAGGCAACAGAACCTGCTGCAACATCTTCAGAAGTCTCACAACAAAATGGATTTTTTTTCTCTTCTTAATATATGTGCTGTTTAACAGAAATATTGTTGAGGTAAGACTTAGCAACCCAAATACAGTGTGTGCATATGCTTTTAAGTTACGAATACTTCAAGTGGCTTGGCTAATTTTAAAGATTACATAATGCATGTGTCATTGAAGTGCTACAGTCAGAATAAAGACTAAATGGGATGAATAAAAATAAAACAAGAATAGTAAATGCCTGAGAAGGAAATATAGGGTTTTTTTTCCTTTGAATGCCTCAGCACCATTTTTTTCTTACTGATAAAGCTTCATTTTAACTACTACCGGTAGGCAGATTCTCACAATTGCTTTTTATAGAACTAAGGTACACTTTTCTTCTTAACTCAGACAGACTATTAGATGAGAGATAATAACCTTTTGTGCATGTGGAGTTGGCGTGCTGCTCTGTGTGATCATTTTAAATCAGATGACCACTTAAAAATTAAATATGTTATGACGTCTAACAAATAAATTATTAAAACTAAGATTTAACTTTCAGGATTGACTTATGGAACAATGGCAACTTGGTGCAAGATCTTTTCCTAGGAGAAATTAAGATTCCTGTCAAAACGTTAGGAAGTGATTCTTTCCAAGCATGGTAAGGAATTGAGTACAAAGTTGTCACATTGATAAAATGAAGAATAGGTTTAACATAATTAAACTAGCATAGCTTCTTCTATCTTCGATATCTTTACTGACTAGTCCAAGTAAATTAATTTTTCCTACATTTTATTTTTTAGCAAAAAAATTTAAGTATTACTGTTTGCAGTGAAATAAGCAAACAGTTAATCGTAACTGCGATGAAAGACGGAAAAAGTCAGATTGTGATTGATAGTTTAAAACTGTTCAAAAGCCATGTGGACATAATGTGTATCCAGCAACATGTATAGGGTAGCCCTAAATCCCAATATTATTTAAAGCTTTAGTAAAATTGTATATAAAATTGCTCTGCTATCTGATAGTGCTATAAATGAAGCCATTAGCCTTTGCCAGCTTGTAAAGTATTTGTCATTTCAGTATTTTTTTTTCTAATATGTTAAAGACATTTCTTCAAAAATAAATACCAAAAATATAAGGCTTTTCAAACTTTTCCATGGCCACAGATCTGTTTGTTTTTTTAAAAAACATCCCAGAGCTCATGATTAAGAAGCAAAGCTCTAATAGAAAATTGACTGCATTTGAATAAGTATGGGATTAGTTTTGGTCTCTCACAGAATCCAGTCAAGTTCTTGAGGAATCTTAGGAACACCGTTTGAAAAACACTGTTATATTGAACACAAAAAATCAATGTAATTTTTAAAGAAATAGTTGAACTTTTCTGCAAGAAGTAATAGTTTATTGCAGTAATAAAGACTCAAAGTTATATATCTTACAATCATTGCAGTGAAGTATAATAGCAGTATGAGCAACTGTAGTACAGGTTAGGCAGAGTTCCAGATAGGTAGAATCAACATTGTAAGGCCTCCCTTACAATGTATAAAAATACTGGATTTCTTCCCTAATGGCATTTGAGGACAACTACCATCGAGGTTTTCAAGATTTGAAAAGGGAATAGAGAATGGCCTTGAAGGACAGGAAGAAGAATCATTGCCATGCAACAGTCAGATAAATGGGGTTTGAAAACATCTCAGACAAGTCCTTGCCTTGTTCACACAAAGATAAAGAATGAAAGGGAGAATTCAGACGAACTGTTACAACAAACTTTGCCTCAACCTATATGACTTTGGATTCTTAGTCTGGATAAAATTCTCTACCACTTCAAAGAAGTCATGCTGTGAAAGCCATCTTGGTGCACAATTGATCTTTACAGCTACTAGGCCTCTTTTATGACTCCTGGCATGATACATTTGAGTCAAGAATTTTGCTTTCTTTGTGGTAGACTCCCCTTACAGAACAAGTTGCTGGAATTTAGACAAGCTTTTTATTATATAAAACATATTGACACATGCCTTTCTTTGCAATTCCGATTCTTGCAATTTTATATTTCATGAATGGATAATGTTTTAATTGTTTAATAGAATTTGTGTATGCTACCAATAACCATGAAGTGAGCAGACAATACAAACATTTTCTAAATATATGAATAAGTTCGAATTAGCAAATCTACAAAAGAAGGGAAAGGAGAAAGAACCTTTGCTTTTCATTCTCTGTTTATTATGACAATTGGTTAAAACTAGTTTGCTCAGTCTGTCATTTAGAGAATATCTTAAGCCTTCTAATTTATTCTTTTTAAGGTATCTCCTACAGCCAAAAGATAATGGAAATAAATCTGGTAAAAGTGAAGATCATGGATCCCTTAGACTGAATATAAATTATGCTGAAGATTATGTACTTCCATCTGGATACTATGTGTCTCTTAGAGACTTGCTTCTGAAATCATCAGAAATGGAGGTATTTTTCATTTTTCAACTTTTATCAATTTAAGCAGCTAATGCACTACCACTAGTCCACTCCTGTGTTGGATTTGTTGGGAAGTGGTACAAGGTCTCCTTTCAAAAGGTGATATTTTAGATTAGATTTCTGTTCAGAATTCAAAAAACATGTATAAAACAGTACTGTACAGCCCCTAAAATGGTTAACTTTTAAAAACAACTACTTATACTCTATGAAAAGGTAGAATTTTAGATGCTATTTGGTATGGTTGTCAAGAGTTTACTATTCAGAAAACAAACGCTTGAACTATTATATAAAAGTTCTTTACAAAATGTGTGCTTAAAGAATTTTCCTCATAATGAATTTTAAAAGCTGTTTTGTTTTGATCTATTCAATATTGCGAAGTATACATATTGTGCAGATTTGTTTCAGTACATTCTTTTCTAGACAAGAACAAATATCTGTCATACTTTCCCTTATCCCTTGTGATGTACATAGCGCAAAATTCAATAATGTAATTCAATATAGAATTGTATATGCAAGAAACATGTGAAATCTGTTTCAGATATATTTCCCCTGAGACCACACTCAGGACAACTATTATGAGAGTGCACTCTCTATAACAGGGCCAGCAATTGCTTTGATTTATTTTCCTGTTACAGTCAAAGATACTGTGATAAAGTCAAAAATACTGCCATGATTTAGTGAAGTAGATTTGGATCCTATTTGGGTTGGCTTAAAGATGGGAAAAGATCCTCTAAAAGGAAGGATCTGTTCTTTTATTTCAAATTTCCCTAAATCCTTTTTTATTTCTTTTGAAGTAAGACTTCAAATGGTAAGGTGGATTTTTGAGACATGTCAATTTGTATTCTTAACCTTCTTCCCAGGCCTGATTTGCTGATTAATTTTGAGAACAGTTTATTTGGTTGCTGGAAGTGCTCTGTCAGTTTTGGATAGCCCGCACACACAAAGAACTGATGTTGCTTTTTTTTATTGAAAGTTTTGCAGTTGGATGCTCCATCTGATATTAAAAATCTAAATATGAACATAAAATAGTAATTTTTAGGTATTTTTTTCTCTTCCATCAAATGAAAAGCAAAAGGAATATAGAAGGTTTTCTTCTAATCAGCTGGCAAAAAAAGTAACTCTAATTCTTGAAACTGGAAGAAAATTATTTTACATAGGCTTTTTTTTAACTTAGGCTAAGATTTACCTGAAAAATCATTATTACTGTTATTAATATTTCTATGCATATTTCAGTGTGAGGAATTATGTACATTCATCCCATTTTCCTCTCTTTATAGCCAATTTCTGCATCAGCTGCTTACATCTTGGCCGAAGTGTGCCGCGATAAATATGATGGTATTTTGCCACTTGTAAGGTTGTTGCTGCACCATCATAGATTAGTGCAGTTCGTTACCGCAGTGGCAGAATTAGAATTGAAAGAAACACAGTAAGTGAATGACTTTTTTCCATTCTACAATAGCTGTGTCTATGACAAAACTAAATGCTACATGCATTTTCTATGAAATTATTTTTTTCAGTAAATTTTACAAATTTTCTGCTTCTTAGGACTAAATGGTTCAAAATCTTTTGAAATGATAATAGCTGCTTGATTTTGTTGGAAAATAAATAATTTTACAGCAGTCTTGACATAAACTATATTTAAATTCTGGAAAAATCTTGTGATTTTGTAATCTTGGAGAAAAATATAGTGGGTCTTCCACAGTTTATCTTTCTTATCTTTATTAAAGAGGGAATTCTTGCAATTACACTGCCCCCCCCCCCACCAATGAAACATTGCATTAAAATTAGTATGATTCAGCCCAATGTTTCTTCCTCCTTCCTGGTCGAAAGCCAGCTGAGCATGAATTGGTTTTGTTAATGGTTTTAAAATGTGCATATTCTCTTATTTTTCTAGAATTTATTAATGATTTAATTAAAAAAAACAGAAATGGCATAACAATACCACGATTATATAGAACCAAAGAAAGATGAATTTATTCTGTTGTATAATGATGCTATATATTTCTGAGAAGAAATTGAAATCCTTACGTGCATTTTTGAAGACAGTGCCTATGCTGATTGAGTGTTTGGGAAGAGGTGTCAAGAATTAAATTACGCCTTTTGTATCTGCATAAATGTTTATATAATACTGATACCTACTATTAGGGCAACCTAGAAGGCATTGGTATCTATTGATAATATTAAAGATATTTTAATATTTTGCATTATTGTAGACTATATGAGCTAGAAACTCTGCAGCAAAGACCTCTGGTCACCTTGTATCTTCATGTGTATTTGTGAATATGTGTGTATGCATATAGTCTTGAATTTCTAATTTGAATTGTATTACAGAGAAGTAAATACAATCTTCAGAGGAAACTCTTTAACTACTCGGTGTGTAGATGAGATGATGAAAATAGTGGGAAAGCACTACTTGAAAGTTACTTTAAAACCAATTCTAGATGAGGTATGATAAATGTATGTGTTAAAATGTTATATATTGGGAATAATGGAAAAATCCCTACTGCATAAAATTTGCTACTACTGCAGATACCAGTTTTCACCTTTGTGCCAGGTCTAAATGTCTGTATTGCTTTCTTGAGACTGGATGAACTATTCATTTCCTGTCATGCCAGTCTGCAAGACAAATCTCATAAGAATCCAATCACTTTGCAAAATATTTGGTTGCAAATTGCTTAATCCATTTGTTTAATATGTTTACCTTATGTTAATATATTGTGTGAACACCTTACCAAAGGCCGAGCAGCTCATATTAGACTTGAGTGTGCAATATTTTTACATCTACCATATCGTCCCTTTTCAGTAGCCTACATCTGCTTGGCTGGACATAGATTTTAAATTGAATTTCCAGTATGCAAACAGAAAAAAATGCTTATCCTTGCTACTGTTGTTTTATTGGTCAGAATTAGATTTCAAAACTTTTTTAAAAATTACAAACATATCGTAGGATATAGCATAATCTCTTGGCAGTCACATCCACCTGACCCATTAGAGCGAGGAGGCAGGGAATGTTGTGGGTCCCACCACTGAAGAAGGACCTTCTCCGTGGGACCTCCGCCTCTGTGGATCATCATTCCCCCAGAGATTAGAATGGCCCCCTCACTAAGACACTTCTGAAAGGCACTGAAGACCTGTTTTTGCCAGCAGGCCTGGGGAATTCAGAGAGGGATGGAGCCCATCAGGTGGCTAGTGTGATCTGCTGTCGTCAGGGAGCGGGGTGGGAGTTGGTTTTTGATTTTTTTTCCCCAAATTTTGTTTTATTGTATTTTACTAATTTATTTGATTCTTTCTGTTTTTATTGTTTTTATTTTTTGTTTAAAATATGGTTTTACATTGTCTAAGTCGCCTCGAGTCACCATGGGCGAATAGGCGGCAATATAAATTAAACAAATATATATATAAATAAATAATGCAAAAATATTACATTTTTGGAAATGACTATAACCATTAGTTTATGCATATCACAGTGGAAATAGAAAAGATGCAATGTTTATTATGGGCTTGGAGTACTGTCAGGGAGGGGGTATAATTGATTTTATGTGAAGATTGAAGTAAAAAGGCAGCTTGGCAAGCCATATGTTCCTGGTTCATATTTCTCTGACTCCTGATTGTCACAAAAAGGGTTACCTGTTTCATTGTAGCAGGTACAATTGTATGAGCTAAATAACACAACATGTATTGTGTGTGTAGCTTCCCAAAACAGCTCAGGCTCATTCAGCAAAGATTGCTGGCATTCTTGTGACTGCATTCAGACTTTTCCTGCTGGATATCACTTAGCATTACTAGCTGCAAGCCCCAGAACAAGTCAGATATCACTTTAACAAGAAAGTACATTGTTTGCTGATTACCCATATGGGTGATGCATGTTAAAAAAGAGCAGTTTGTTCCTGTAACTGTAGTCCTTCAAATGGTCAACTTTGCATTTACTTCATAGGTAAAATTCTCCACACAAATTATTCTACAACATTTTCAAATGACTGAAGTAAAGGTGTGGTTTTCTGGGTGTTGTAAAAAATCACATGTACCTTGAAGAATCATTGTTATAGGTTAGCAACCTATTTTTAACATCTGATCCAAGAGAAAACATGGTTACTGTATTGTCATTTTACAATGGATAAAACTTTCATTATTTCAACTTAAGAACAAATCTCACTGTCTGAGTAGACAGGTATATGATTGTGCTACAAACTTTAATCTTGTTTCAGATATGTGAGAATCCTAAGCCTTGTGAAATTGATCCCTTGAAACTGAAAGAAGGAGATAATGTGGAAATGCACAAGGTATGCTAAAATGTTGTGTGGGATTTTTAAAAAATTTATATTTATGGAACTTCTAACAACCAAGCATTTTCTGGAATGTAAAAGTCCACAATAATTTTAGTAACAAGATTTGATTGGCCCTATGGCACCTTCTCTAGGAGGAACTAGGTATGCGCTAGTCATAGTTGATGATTACACTAGAGAAGGGTTTTGCTATCTGCTAAAAAGCAAGACGGAGGTATTGCAACAGTTCAAGCAACCCCCATAGGCAATCCAGTAAGACCCCTTGGTAGTATCAAAAGCCAATAGAAAGTCTGAGGCAACCAGGAAAGTTGCACTATCCTCCTTATAGTCCCAAACCAGGTCATCTGCTAGGAGAACCAATGTTCTTTTTCTCCCTTATCCAGGCCTGAATCCTAACTGAAAAGGGTTCAGATAATCTGTTTTATCTAGGGCTCTATGAAGCTGGTCCACCACTATTGTCTTAACAACAATGAGGAAATGTTGGAAACCAGATGATAGTTGCCCAAGACCTGTAGTTCCAGGGCCAGCCTTTTCAGAAGGGAGCATCACACAGTACTTGACAAGACTTCAAGGAATTCCCTCCCTACAAAGAGCTGTTTACAATTTCCCAGATTCAGTGGCAAACAACAGCATAGAAGGTCTTAACTTCCTTCAAGATCACAAACCAGGAGGAATCCTAGTTAGTATCATAGAACCTTGCCCTGTCACCACCAAGGGCAGAGTGACATCACTGATAAAGCGATTGTGTGAGAAAGAAAGAAATAATTTTTGGAGGGCCTTTATAGACTATTGGTGTGCATTTTATTCTTTAAGAAACTGCCGCTAACTGCTAAGATGGTAACTATTCATACAGATTTTGTTGAGATTTTTCTCATTGATAAAATGAGCTTGGTAAACACTTAAAATAAAATAAAAATATTAACTTTCTGAAATTATTTGTCTGCACAGGAAAATCTTCGTTATTATGTTGACAAAGTTTTCAGTACAATTGTACAATCAAGTATAAGTTGCCCAACTTTAATGTGTGATGTGTTGTGTTCTCTGAGGCGTTTGGCTGCTGAAAGATTTCCTAGTAAGTGTATCAATGTCTCAAAATGACAGTATGATCTGTGACTTGAATAAAGGGTCTGTGTCCATGAAAATGTTATCAAAATCAGTTCTATAGCATTTATAAAAAGAGGGAAGTACAAATTTATTAATATGCCAGTTGTAGACACTGCATGCCTTCTGTTGATATACTGCTGTTAACAGCAAGAAACCATACTTATGTGCCACACTAATCTGTATTGAAGGACTAGGCAGCAGTGGTTTTGGACTACAACTACCGTACTATAATAATCTATCACTGGATATGCAGACTGAGGCTGAGGAGTTGTAAATTAAAATTTCTTAATAAGTTGCCTCTTCCTGCTATTTTACAGAAAAATAATTTAGATTTCCTCCCTATAGAAAGTGACAGAGTCATAGAAAATATATTTCATAGGTGAGTATTGCATGCACCAACCTCAGGTGCCTAAATTCATCTCTACCTTTATTTCTAAAGTAAGAGGAAACAGGCAGGAAACCGATTGCACTACATATTTTTGTTAGTATTAACTGTGTTTTATGGAAAATGTATTTTGGAAGTATCTTTCTTTGCATAGTTAAGATTAATCATACAATAGAGCCTACTATTCAGTAAATACACAAGTGGAAACCTGCAATTTCATTCACACCTGTGACAAGAGGAAGGGGCACAGTGCTCAATTTGCTATAACTAGCAGGTAACATCAAATAAACTAACAATTCTGATACGCCCAATAACACAGGGCCATGCATTTTTCATCATAACTTCACTTTCATTTCACACTACTTGCTACTTCTATTTTGCAGAAGAATAGTAATCATTTTTTCTACTGACACCCTACTAAGATTTTCACTACCTTATTTCACCCATTCCTGCTAAGTTGTACATTTCATGGTTTTTCCTCTGCAGATGACCCTCATGTACAGTACTCTGCAGTGAGCAGCTTTGTGTTCCTTCGTTTCTTTGCTGTAGCTGTAGTATCGCCTCATACTTTCCATTTACGACTTCATCATCCAGTAAGTTTTGATGTTATGTTCATATAGTTTATGAGCTTAAGACAATGTATGCAGAGATAAACTTACATCATAAGCAGCTGAAGGAGCCTATAAACCACTTAACATCTTTTTTTAAAAAAACCTTTCTGATCAGTTATCGAACAGTTGAAGCATTCTGGGATACTTTCGTATGTTGAAAGTACTTGACATGAGAAACAAGTATATGACTAAAACCAAATTAAATGTTTAACTAGTTGGAATCTAATGGCTTAACATTTGGGGATATATTTCCTATTTTCAGTAAAATTAAGAAAAATTAAAAATACATTCATGCTGATTTATAGCTAATTTGAAAACATGTACTAAAGAACTAGTCTGGTGTAGTGATTAAGGCACCAGGCTAGAAACTAGGAAATTATTTAGGCATGAACCTAGCTGGGTGATGTTAAGCCAATCATTCTCATAGTCTTAGGAAGAAGGCAATGGCAAACATCCAAATCTTGTCGAGATCTGCAAGGACTAATGCAGGTAGCTACCAGGTGTCAACATTAACGCACACACACACACACACACAGCAATCATACTCCATCATGGTTTGTATAATTTGGGTTATTTAAAAAAAAACTTCAGTTGATTTAACTTTGACTATTTCTCAAAAGCCTTTAATACTGTCTCTTTACATATAGTCCTCAGTACAGTTCATAAATGAGTCATGTTGTTATTCTAAGCAAAATTCTTGTGGAAGCTTCCACAGGAAATACAATGAAGACAGAATGAAGTCAGTAATATTGCACGCAGGTGTCTATTTTTTTTCTTCTTGGATTATTGGTATATGATTCTTTTAGGTGCACAATTTCTACAGCCTATTTATGTAGAAATCTACTGGACCAAGAAGTGAAGCATTTGGCAAAAATCATGATAATTTTGCTTGCTTATTTTGACACTGAAGAAGCTTTTTTCCCTTTAGAAAACACCAAATAGTATGTGTGGAATTTGCACAATTTTTCTTGAAAATTTTTGACCCAGTGTTTTCTCAGCTACACCCTACTTCTCATATCCACTTAAACTTGCATACAGTATTCTTTTCTCTCGTTTTTCCCCACAATCACCACCTTCTCAAGGGATTGGATTCAGAGATAGTGCATGGCTAAAAATCACCTAGTGAGTTTCCATGAGTCAGAGTGGACCTAGACCTTGCCTGTGCCACTTCAACATTTAACCACTATATTGCACTTCATTCTTTTTTTCCCCTTTTTTTCTTTTTCTTTTTTTTTCTTTATGGACCCTTCCTATCAATTCATTCTCACTTGTTCAATCTTAGGTCTCATTCTTCATTAAATTAAAATTGAAACATAATATATTGTCATTACTAAAGGATTAATTTAAATCTGTAGAGATTTATAGAATTAAAGCTTTTTTTGCCCACTAATTAATAGTGTGGTAAAAGCTATTTTCTGTGTTCATTCGAAAAAGTACAGAGAAGAGCAACCAGGATGATTAGGGGACTGGAGACTAAAACATATGAAGAATGATTACAGGAACTGGGCATGGCTAGTCTAGTGAAGAGAAGGACCAGGGAGGACATGATAGCAGTCTTCCAATATTTGAGGGGCTGCACAGAGAGGAAGGGGTCAAGCTATTTTCTAAAGTGCCTGTAGGCCAGACAAGGAATAATGGATGGAAACTGAAGAAGGAAAGATTTAACCTGTAAATAAGGAGAAACTTTCTGACAGTGAGAACAATCAACCAATGGAACGGCTTGCCCTTGGGAGTTGTGTGAGCACCATCATTTGAGACCTTCAAGAAGAGATTGGACTTCCATTTGTCAGAAATGGTGTAGGGTCTCCTGCTTGGGCAGGGCGTTGGACTAGATGACTTACAAGGTCTCTTCCAACTCTGATTATCTGTTATCTGTTCTCACCTGAAAAACTTCTCCAAAAGATTGAGGAACTTTCCAGAACACATGAACAAATATTTTTTATTATTTTAGGGAAAATTACCCTGGATGTAACTGTCCTGACTGCTCTGCTGTCTTGATACCGCTTTATATCTGAAGAAAAACAATTCTTGTTTCAATATAACGCTGCTTATGTGAATGCCAGTGAAATCTGTATTGTTGCAGAAAATGTACGTTTGATATGCTGATGTATCTGTCTATTTCATTGTACAGATAGTCCTTGACTTGGCCAACAGGCAAACAGAACATACACATGTGATCACATGATCATATTTTTGGATGCTTGGTAACCAGTCCACGTTTATGATTGTTTGCAGGATTCTTTGGTCATGTGACTGATTTACAACTTTTTTTTTTGCCGGAAGCCAGCACTTACTTGTTCTGACTCAACCTAGTTCCAAGAGAGCCAACACCAGACAAAGGCAGCCCCCACCTTTTAAGGTTTCATCTACAAATTCTGTTTCTTCACAGATAAAAGGCTGCTTTCAACTAATTAGCTCTGACAAGAAAGAGGCTTGCCAAGTTGTTTGTCAAGGCTGCCAAAAACCCACAGATAAGAAATAGTTTACAAGAGTTTCCAAATGCTAACTATAATGTCCACGAGGCTGAGTTTCAGAACGTCTTTGCCTTCTCCAAAGAAAGCTTCTTCAAACCTGGCTTTTATCCTCTTCAGGGAGGGGCCATTACCTTGCAGCCTTACTCCTGAGTCGTCTGTGCTGCTGTAACTGCTCTCTCCTATGAGCAATCCTGCACACACGCATACTTGGCACAGGTTCCTCGGGAATCTCTTTATCACTGCTGCCAACCCTCACAATCTCTGAAGGCAGCAGTCCACTCCCTAATGGTCCTGGCTGCTCATCTGAGTCCTCAACTCTCCTCCACCATCCACACTTGCTGCCGGCTAACCACAACATTACTTGAGGTTTTTGGCAGAAAACATCCATTGCGGACAATGGGTTCACTTAATAATCAAATCATTTGCTTAACAACCATAGTGATTCACTTCAACGACTGTCACGAAAATATCATAAAATCAGTTCAGTTATATGATGACCTACTTGTTTGGGTTCAATTACAGTTGTAAGTCAAGGACTACCTGAAATATTTTGTCATCAGATACAGCCTATTCGGTGATCATATTACAGGTAGTTCTTGACTGACAACCACAGATTTCTCTTGCTAAGTTAAGAGTTTTGCCCCATTTTACAACCTTTCTTGCCACAGTTGTTAAGTGAATCACTGCAGTTAAGTTGGTTACATGGTTGCTAAGTGAATCTGGCTCCCCCTTTGACCTTGCTTGTCAGAAGATTGCAAAAAGTGAACACATGACCCTGGGACACTGCAAACGTCGTAAATACATGCCAATTGCCAAGCATTTGAATTTTGGCCATATGACTGTGAAAATGCTGTGACTTTGTAAGTGTGAAAAGCGGTCATAGGTCACTTTTTTCAGTGCCATTGTAACTTTGCACCATCACTAAATGAATGGTTGTTAGTCAAGGACAACATGTATACAACTTAATTGAACTATCACTTGTAAAATAGTGAATGTTTCTTTAAATGCCTCTTATAGGACGCACAGACATCTAGAACATTAACTCTTATATCAAAAGCAATTCAGACACTGGGAAGCTGGGGAAGTTTATGCAAAAACAAGCTGGTAAGTATCATACTGAAATTACTTTAGTCTACTGGCATCTCTCTATAAAGATTTACTTCTATCTATTTTCCCTTTTTAGTCAAGCTTCAAGGAGACGTTTATGTGTGAATTTTTCAAAATGTTTCAAGAAGAAGAATACATTGAAATAGTCAAAAAGGTATTTCCTTTATACATAATATTTAGCATTCTCAAAAAAATGTTTTCTTTGCTTTGTTGCAAAACTAGAAAGTTTTACCATATTCATTTTTCTCTGTGAGTCACAGATTAATCTAAATTATCCAGCCCAGGCTTCTCTCTATATGTTACATTTAAACTCCTTGTTTTAGTAAAATACTTGGGAGAAATGTTCTGAAAATAAATACATAGTAAGTGCAAAGTAAAAATGTAGAACAACTTTAAACTATTAAAATGTTCATTTTACTTAAAAATAAGTGTATTTTAATGTTCTAAATATTTGTTAATTTTTAAGACTCTGGGTAAAATTGGGAAAATAACTCCTATTATTCTAATATATTCTCCATATTCAGTTTTTAGATGAAGTGTCTTCAACGGAAAGTAAAGAGCCAAGTGTCATGAATGAGCCATTGCATCTAAAAGAAGGGTAACTTAATACAAAGTACAATGTGCAAGGCTGTAATTGATTTTTTTAAAATACATCAAATAAATATGTAAGATTTATGACACTTTATAGTAGTTCCAGGCAGAATTGCAGTCTTTCATTCGCAACTACTTATGTGATTGAAATCGTTGCTCTGAGTGTTAAGGCTTTTAATGAGTGTTAAAATGTGGGTTTTTGTAGGGATTCCTATTGACCTAAATATAAAATACCTTGTTCCCATAAACAAGATTGCCCTTCCCTACCCTTTTACTATCTCTATAAATCAAGCATGGACAAATATTTCAAGTGTGAATGCCATTGTTTTATGCTGCCGAGAGGTATGAAGCCAGAAAATAAAAATTAACAAATAATTAAGGAGTTCAAAAATTATAACCTTAAATATTTGTAGCTCAGTGTTGAGATGAGGGCTCCTTGGTGCTCTTTGAGCTTGGTTATTTTCTTATAGACATTTCATTACCCAAACTAGGTAATACCATCACTATTGGTGTTAACGCCAGCACTTTCATTTTTTAAAGGAATTTCATGAACAATATCTAGAAGTGGTACAGGCATTACCTTGTTGACTTTTATTGTAGTTTAGACGTCCATGAAGTTATTTATAAATGGGGTCTATCTATACAGGGATGTTCTTTTATACAATGAAAGAAAATACAGGTAGTCTTCGACTTAATAGTTAATACAGTGACTGTTCAAAGTTACAATGGCACTGGAAAAAATGCCTTACGATCATTTTTCACACTTACGACCATTGCAGTATCCTCATGATAACTGATCAAAATCAGATGCTTGGCAACTGACTCATTTATGCCAGTTAGTGTCCCAGGGTCATGTGATCACCTTTTGTGACTTTTGTGACAAGTGAAGTCGACGGGGAAGCAGATTCACTTAACAATCATGTTACTAGCTGAACAACTTCAGTGATTCAGTTAACAATTGTGACAAGAAAGGTCATAAAATGAGGCAAAATTCACTTAACTGTCTAACTTAGCAACAGAAATAGGCTCAATTGTGGTCTAAGACTATGTCAAAAATATATTCAAATTTTGTAAACATTTCTTGCTTTATGTAGTAAATTATAGTAACAGTATCAATAAAATATTATTCTAGATTATACCTGTGATTTTTTTTACTATATTCAGTTTTCATTAATATTCCTAAATTAGGTTCCACAACAATTTTGAGTTTGTAGGAAAATTGTGCTTTTTTTAAAAAAAAACTGTGAGTGGTCCAAATCTAGTATAAAACGTTAATCAAACCCTATATCCCAGTTTTTACATGTCACTTTCATACAAGAATAGAAGGCACAAAAACAGTGAGAGAGGGGAGAAAAAGAGAAGAGGACAAGAAAGAAGAGAGTGCACTAAAGAGAAAAGGAAAGAAAATATAGAAACTGTGGCATTTAATTTAGCATGCCTTCATGCTGAATCAGGGAATCAATCCTCAGTACTTTTTTGTTCTGGACACGGCTGTAGTAATTCATGTTCAGAACAAAAATACTGTGATAAGATCAGAAGTTGAATCCATTAATCTAACTTGCAAATGAATACACTTGGATAACCTATTAGAAAATTCGAAAATATCTGTGAAAAATGTTCTTATATTTGTTTCACAGGGAGATGTTTAAAAGAGCACAAGGAAGAACTCTTATTGGAAAAAAGAATTTCAAGAAGCGTTGGTTCTGCCTTACAAGTAGAGAACTCACTTATCATAAGCAACAAGGTATTGTTCTTTCTTTTTTTTTAATGTTAATCTTTCAAGTTATGCAGCTTGACCTGATGGTGATAAACTGATTATATTCTTCAATTCCAATGTTTAAGAGTAATTATAACCTTGTTGAGTATAAACAAATAAGTAAAAGTACTCTTTTATGTTTTTAATTATGTATTAAGTTTACAAAACTACTTACCATTGGGCTTATATATCTGAGTCAATGTGTGTGTAGACAAATACTTTTGAATCTGGGAAACAAAAGATGAAATATTGGATTCTTTTATCTATAGAGTTATTCATTCATTGTTGGGATTTGCAAGGCTGTCTAGTTAATAGACATTGGGCAGCGTACATTAAAAATCAAAACCTATCAAAATCTACAAAAAGTATATAAAACCATATTAATTAACAGCAGACAATCTCTCAGCAGAATACACTCAGCTACCATCCTGACCAGATGCTCTACCATCCTTATCTTCATGGCTCTATGAAGGGATCACGTATAACGTGTTCCACCAGGATTTGTGTTTTGTGTTAAGGTTTTATTCATAATTAAAGGATTTCCTGTTTTTTTTTCTTAATCCAGTTAAAGGACCTATATTCACCATTCCTGTCAAAAACATTCTTGCAGTAGAAAAACTTGACGAGGGTGCATTTAACAGGAAAAATGTAAGTAACTGAAATAACTGTCAAGCATGGGAAATTCTAAAATATCACATAAAAGTGACAGCTGTAATGCTAGGATACAAAGCTCTATTCAAATTCTTGTTACATGTATTGAAAAAGTGGTATGTTGATTTTGAACTACAAGGAATCCTCATGCTACAAATACTATAGAGTCCAAAATTGTAAGGTGAAACAGTTGTTAAGTGGTTTTACCCCATTTTACAACTTTCTTGCCACAGTTGTTAAGTAAATCATCACAGTTGTTAAATTAGTAATGTGGTTAGGGTTAGAGTCAATTTAATGTCAGGGTTTCCAAGTAACATTCATAGCAAACAAAACTCCAAGGCAGGTAGATTAATCAAAGAATAAGTTTATTGGATATGTCATATTGGCACAGGCTGTTGGAAATATTTCCATGGTTTTCACCTAATTAAAAGTAAAACTTTATTACTTTCCCAAACCAACCAGTCATATAGCCCAATCAGATTACAGTTCAGTTGCTAGGCGACATCAGTCCCCTCCTTCCAAACGACTGTAGGAATGTCCTTGGTTACCAAGAGAAAGTATTTTGTTTGGACTATACTACCCCAACTATCTTTATTCCCACGTCCCTATCCCTCAACTCCAGTGTGTCAGCAGCACTGAAGTCTCAATGGCCTCAGTCAGGCCAGCTTCAGGTTTGATAATAAAGTTTAATGATCCAGTTAAAAACATAAAACTATATCACAATATAATGAGAACTACAACATTTGAAGATGCATTATAACCAACACAGAACTTAGCCACACTAGTACTGATAATGCTAGGGTTAGAATTGGAAAATAGAAATTTTATGCAATAGAGTTTGGTTCATTCTGAATACATTACAGGAGAAGTGAAATAAATGAATTCCACATATTAGAAATTGCAATGCAGCAATATGTGGACAGTGGTTTTGATCTTCTCTGGTTCCCAAAAGCAAACTTATTCAAATAAGGGCAGTTTGGAATATTTGTTCAATAGAAGCACTAATGGTATTACATTATGTTATGCACAGACAAAGTCTTTCCACAACCAGAAAACATAAGTGTATTCCATTTAAAATTTAATGTTTTGGCTTTAAAAAGATTTTAAAAGTGGCAAGAACTAACTCTCCACCATTAGAGAAAAAGAACATCTAATGGCAGGAAAAAATTATAATGCTGCCCGAGAGGCATAATTATGGTCTTTTAATGATCCTTTGATGTTGAAGACCACTACAAGGTATTTAAAGATGTCAACCTGTTCAATCTAAAAATCTGGGTAAATTTGCATATTAATGGGGCTTTTATGGGGTCCAAAAAGATACAACTATAAAATACTTCATTAGAGGCTGGTGGTTTTCAATGTAGGATGATTTAATGAAAAATAAATCATCCTACATTGAAAACCACCAGCCTCTAATGAAGTATTTTATAGTTGTATCTTTTTGGACCCCAACACAAGGAGAATGGGTGGTACTAAAAAGATAAATTTAGTAATAATCCTCTAATTCCTCAATGCCTGACTCCTATTTGTCATACCTATTAATTCACGTTTGACAGAGTTTTCTTCCCTACATCTCTTCTTTATGTCCCAAATGTGCTGTTTCAGGAGGCAACTGGATTTTCTTGTTTTTTCTTTGAAGATGTTTCACTTCTTATCCAAGAAGCTTCTTCAGCTCTGACAGGATAGTGGGGAATAGAAGGATTTATATTCCTTGCAGACAGCTAGTCATTTGCATCAGTGGTGGGTTTCAAAAATTTTTATTATCAGTTCTGTGGGCGTGGCTTATTTGGTGGGCGTGGCTTGTGGTCATGTGACTGGGAGTGGCTTAGTGGTCATGTGACTGGGTGGGTGTGGCTTGGTAGTCATGTGACTAGGTGGGTACGGCCAACGCAGTGTCACTCACGTCAAGGGAAGCCTTGCCCGGCCCTTCCCCTCCCAGCCATTCCTTGTCATACCCAGCCTCAACTTACCTATAGTTCTGTAGAAATGTTGTTCACCTTTTATTTGACACTCCAGGCACTTTACTCACAAGGGGAAAGCAATACTTCTAGCGTCCATGAAAAATCCAGCCTTGGAGCAGTTTTGGAACTTAACAGACCGCTCCTCTGCCGACAGTCATGTGTTTTCAAGTAGCTGCTTGAAAATGCATGGCTAGGGTGGAGGAGCAGTCCTCCTTTAAACTGCTCCAAGCCTGTATTCCTCGTGGGCGCTGGCTAGCTGCAAATGCATGTCTGTTAACTTGCAAAACTGCTCCAAGGCTGGATTCCCCCCAAAGCACCTCCGTGGATGGTGGCAGTGGCAGCAGCATCTACCCTCCCTCCCAAAGACCTCCAGCAGCCGTGGCGGGGCCGTGGAGCAACCCCCCCCAACTCCAGCCCTATCAAAGCACCTCCGCGGATGGCGGCAGTGGCAGCAGCATCCTCCCTCCCTCCCAAAGACCTCTGTGGAGCACCCACACACACACTCCAGCACTCCCAAAGCACCTCCGCAGATGGCGGCAGCAGTATCCACCCTGCCTCCCAAATACCTCTGGCAGCCGCGGCGGGGCTGTGGAGCACCCTCACGCTCCAGCCCTCCCAAAGCACACTTCCACAGAGGGCGGCAACTGCAGCAGCAGCATCCACCTCCCACCCAAAGACCTCCAGTGGCTGCTTGCTTTCTTGCGGGAGTGCAGGGCAGAGTGGGTGGATGTCTCAGCTGGGGCTGCACATGCGGTGCACAATTTTCAGCAACCCTGACTGGGACATCCTCCCGCCCTTGTTGTGCCATGGCCACCACGTAGTTGGGAAAAGCACTGCTTGGGATGGATCCACATTGGCTTAGCCAGCAAGCCGAGCCCAGGGATGGTAGGGAAGGCCTGGAAAAGTGTGGGGATGGGAGGGAAGGCCCAGAAAAGTCTGGGACAGTGGGGGAGGGACTAGCACGACTCGCAGGCTTATCTGTGAGCAGGAAGATCAGGGCTGCTCAGTTGAGGCACAGGCACCATGTGGGAAGGCTTGAATGGCAAGCCACGAGGACCCAGGAGGGGAGGAATTACTGGGCAGGGCGAGTGGCGGGCGGGTGGGCGTAGCAAGCAAGTGAGCATCAGGCAGGTGGGGCAAGCAAGCAAGCGAGCGAAGACTGGGTGACCGGGACAGGGGCGTGACCAGCCAGATGTTGCTACCGGTTTGGCGACCCACGCCAAATTCTTGCTACCGATTCACTCGATCCGGTGCAAACCAGCTGAATATCACCTCTATTTGCATCCTTTTAGAGGGTTGTTGAAGCACTTTGAGGTTTATCTGTGTCCTCAGGAGCACCAGGTGACCCTAAGGACACAAATAAACCTCTTAAGTGCTTCAGTGACCCTCTAAAGATGCAAATGACCAGCTGTCTGCATTTCCCACTATTCCCACTATCCTGTTAGAGCTGAAAAAATGAGAAAGTCCAGTTGCCTCCCGAAAAAGCACCTTTGGGACAATCATGAGCTGGATGACTGAGAATCTCTACAGATTTCTTTTTTATTGTACTAGAACAATTAGAGATAATTTACTTGCTCTCCTCCTTTTTTCCTCCGCCTTAGGATATCCTCAGGTGTCTGATGTTAATCATGGATAAAATTAGGTAGTCTTATCAGCCTAGAAGCAAAAATGTGGATCATAAATTCCCTCCTTTTCTGAGTAAAATGGAAGTCAGTGCATTAACCAGTATCTGTTACACCAAAGCAGCCGTTTGGATAAGCATCCAGTCTTCTGTTTTCAAAGTTTTTAAATATTACACAAACAAATCAGCTCTTTTTTTCTCCTCTAAATAAATTGCTGATTGGTTGAATGGAGCTGTTTTCTTTTTCAGATGTTTCAAGTGATACATGTTGAGAAACCACTCTATGTGCAGGCAAATAATTGTGTGGAGGCTAGTGAGTGGATAGAAGCTCTCTGTAGAGTGAGCAGATGCAACCCAAAGCGATTGAACATCTATCACCCATCTGCTTTTTTGAATGGAAATTGGCTATGCTGTAAAGCCACATCAGAAAACACAGTGGGCTGTATGCCATGTACTGCGTAAGTAACATCTACAAAAAAAATAACACATGCATGTTTTGGAATAGAAATAATTTTGCTTACAATATATTGCTGTAACTTACGTTGCCTTCCTAATGATCAAAGGGAGATTCATATCAGAATTACACATGTGCTTGAGATTAACAAATGAACATTATTAGATTTGAAAACATATTAATATTTATGGCAACTTGTCATCAATTCCGATTATGAAACAACATAGATTATTATTCTGATTATGAAGCAACATAGAATCTATAATAAATGAATGTACACTGCTCAAAAAAATAAAGGGAATACTTAAACAACACAATGTAGCTCCAAGTCAATCACACTTCTGTGAAATCAAACTGTCCACTTAGGTAGCAACACTGATTGACAATCAATTTCACATGCTGTTGTGCAAATGGAATAGACAACAGGGAGAAAGCATAGGCAGTTAGCAAGACATCCCCAATAAAGGAGTGGTTCTGCAGGTGGTGACCACAGACCACTTCTCAGTTCCTATGCTTTCTGGCTGATTGAATGCTGGCGATGCTTTCACTCTAGTGGTAGCATGAGACGGAGCCTACAACCCACACAAATGGCTCAGGTAGTGCAACTCATCCAGGATGGCACATCAGTGTGAGCCATGGCAAGAAGGTTTGCTATGTCTGTCAGCGTAGTGCCCAGAGCATGGAGGCGCTACCAGGAGACAGGCCAGTACATCAGGAGACGTGGAGGAGGCCGTAGGAGGGCAACAACCCAGCATCAGGACCGCTACCTCCGCTTTTGTGCAAGGAGGGACAGGAGGAGCATGCTCAGTCGTAGGGAGGTCATACAGGCACATGGAGGCCACACACACTATTGAGCCTCATTTTGACTTGTTTTAAGGACATTACATCAAAGTTGGATCAGCCTGTAGTGTTTTTTTCCACTTTAATTTTCAGTGTAACTCCAAATCCAGACCACCATGGGTTGCTAAATTTGATTTCCATTGATAATTTTTGTGTGATTTTGTTGTCAGCACATTCAACTATGTAATGAACAAAGAATTTAATAAGAATATTTCATTCATTCAGATCTAGGATATCTTGTTTTTGTGTTCCCTTTATTTTTTTGAGCAGTGTATTTAAGTTGCTATTTGGAAATGATTTTTTTTTCTTTGCAACCTCAGTATATATCATTACAGTGCCCTTTTTTTCCCTTCCTTCATCCCTCCCTCCCTTCACCACTTCTTCCTAGGACATAGGGTATCTCACAATAAAATCCACCATAAACATACTATACTATTGCTATAGAAAAGCAATAAAAGTTTATAACTATGAAGTAAAAAAAAATTATATGGCATCCATAATACATATATTGATAGAAGCAAGGAGGGAGATATACTGAATGAATTTAGCATAAATTAGATTTAGCAATATTTTTCAGTTCAAGCTTTTGTTATTTGGGATTGATATTTCTTACTCTCTGCTTTATATCCTGTTGCTAACTCAAAGCAATAATCTGATGGCATATGTGCCTAGCTTTCAATCTTTTTTTAAAAAAAATTTAAAAACCTTCATTAAACATTAAAAAAGAATATATACAAAAAACAATACAACTCGTTAAAATGCAAAATAGTATCAAAAACATAAACATTACAAATTATTTAGATGGTGCTTACATCATTATTATTCCAATACATATTTCATATTTCTGATTATTCTCATACATTTATCTTTTTTAGACTGTTCCTTATTTATTTGTTCACTTATTTCTGTCATTTATCCATTTGTACCAGTTTTTCCACACTTTATAGTACTTTGAGTCTTCCTTTTCCTTTAATTTTAGAGTAAGTTTATCCATTTCAGCGCAATCATAGATTTTTTGGATTATTAAGACATAAGACATAAGAATTTATTTGTCATTACACTCGCAAGTGGGTGCAACGAAATGAGGTGCTCTTCCACAAGTAAAACTGGACAACACCATTGAAAGAAAAATAAAATTAAACACAACAGACCATACAATAATCTCTATACAATTTAAAATGTAAATACCCCATTACTCTCAGCCATTAAATTCCACAAAATCTTATGACTCTGCATTCAAACTCAAAACTGCACTTGGATAAAAACTGTTCTTAAATCTAGTCGTCCTTGTTCTTAATACCCTGAATCTCCTTCTCGATGGTAATAGTTCAAAGAGCTGATGTCCCGGATGAGAGGAGTCATTCAATATATTAAATATCTTCCTCTTACATCTATTCCTATACCGTTCTTCCAAAGAGGGGAGTGAGCAGCCAATGATGTTTTGGGCCATCTTAATCACCCTCTGAATTGCCTTTTTCTCTGCCACTGTGCAGCTCGAGAACCATACACAGCGACAGTAGGATAATATACTCTCAATTGAACTCCGATAGAAGGTAGTCAGTAGACTCTCAGCCAGTCGTTGTTTCCTAAGAATCCTTAGTAAATACAACCGTTGTTGTGCCTTCTTAATTAAAGCAGCGGTGTTTGCACTCCAGGTCAGGTCATTTGTAATGATGGTCCCGAGATACTTACATTCAACCACCTGTTCCACACAAACTCCCTCTATATACAGTGGCTGAATGTCTGCTCTTTTTTTCCTATAGTCCACTATAACCTCCTTGGTCTTCTTAATGTTAAATAGAAGATTATTATTTTTGCACCAGTGGGATAGCTGTAATACCTCATCCCGATATGCAGACACATCATCCCCAGAAATAAGTCCTACAAGCGTAGTATCGTCTGCAAATTTTATTATCTTATTGTTGGGATGTTTATTTGTGCAATCAGATGAATAAATGGAGAACAGTAGTGGACTAAGGACACAACCTTGCGGAGTGCCAATGCTAAGTGTCTTGACAGTAGAAATATAATCATTCAGTTTAACTCTTTGTGGATGATTTGTTAAAAAATCCAATATTCATAAACAAATAGAATCTGGAAAATCTAGATCTTTGAGCTTGGCTATTAATCTGTGCGGTATGATGGTATTGAAAGCAGAACTAAAATCTGCGAACAACATTCTTACATAATTCCCCGGTGTTTCCAAATGGGATAAGGCCATGTGAAGCACAGTAATAATTGCATCCTCGGTTGATCTATTTTCTTTGTAAGCAAACTGAAGCCCATCAAAGGAATCAGGAAGGCAGGAGATAATATAATTTCGAACTAGCTTCTCAAAGCACTTCATTAAGATAGAAGTTAGTGCCACCGGCCTATAGTCGCTAGGACCATTTGTGGGCAACTTTTTAGGCAGTGGAACGATGGTGGAAGCCTTGAGACACACAGGAACCACACTTTGTGTCAAGGATCGATTAAAAATTTCAGTCCACACCCCAGCTAGCTGATCAGCACAATCTTTTACCACACGACCAGGAATTGAGTCGGGCCCAGCTGACTTTCTGGAATTAACCGCCTTCATTGTCTGCCTCACATCCTGCTCCTTCACAATGAAGGGGAGGCTCTGCTGAGTAAATGATGGCAAAGGGACAGTTTCAGTTTGATGGATCTCAGATCGAGCAAAAAAATTGTTCAACTCCTCAACCACCGCCGCACTACCATCCAAAGAGACCTTTTTTTTTATTAAACTCTCTGTTGGCAAGAAGTCCCCTTTCCAACATTGTACAAGCACCAGTCTTGCTGCAGTGACTATGTACGAGATTAAATGTTTTATCTCCTTTGTGTAGTTTCCTTTTATTATCCCCAATAAAAAGATTTCTGGTTTGAGTTCTTTTTGGAGGATTGTAATTTCTTTTATCCATGTTCATATTTTTATCCAGTATTTCTTAATTTTCAGGCAAAGCCACCAGATGTGGAAAAAAGTGCCCTGTGTCTGCTTACATTTCCAACAGGCTTAAACTGTGGTATATTTTAGCTAATGTCGAGGGGGCAAGATACCATCGATAACTCATTTTGTACTGATTCTCTTTATATACTGCCGATTTTGTTATCTTATAATTCTTTTTCCAAATTCTTTCCCAGTCCTCCAAATCAATATTATGCCCCACATTCCTTGCCCATACTATCATTGGGCCTTTCACTAATTTCTTTGCCAAATCAAATACCAATAAATAACGATAAAACTTCGAAATTAATTTCTCTTCTGTGCCCCCAATGAGTTTATCTAATCGATTTGGTTCTAATTCAATTCCATACTCCTCCTGATCTTTTTTATATCTTGTTTTTATCTGGAGATATGGCCACCAATCTATATTCAAGCCTTGGTCTCTATAAGTTCTTGATGTGTTTTTAATACTCCTTGGAGATCTAAAGATTCATATAGCTAACTATTTTTCCGATTTCCAATGCATTGGGGTGTGTCAATGCCTCCATGGTGGATACCCATCCTGGAATTTTTATGTAGTGTTTATTTTTAATTTCTCTCTCTATTCGGATAGCAAAGGCTCAGAACGAACAAAGACTTGCAACAAAAGTCAAAGATAATAAAAAAAAGTTTCTTCCAACATATAAATAACAAGAAAAAAATCAAGGAAACAGTCGGTCCACTAAAGAGAGAAGATGGCAAGGAAGTAACAGGCCACAGAGAGAAAGCAGAACTGCTTAACTCATTCTTTGCATCTGTCTTCACGCAAAAAGAAACTATAGCTCAACCCACCAAAAACACAACTGTAAAAGACAGACCAGAAATAAAAGTTGAAATAAGCAAAAAAATAATAAGAGAACAACTGTCTGATCTTGATGAAAACAAATCTCCGGGGCTTGATGGATTACATCCCAGAGTTTTAAAGGAGCTGGCAGAGGTCATCTCAGAACCACTGCACCATATCTTTCAAAAATCCTGGAGCACCGGGGAACTACCAGAGGACTGGAAAAGAGCTGATGTGGTTCCCATCTTCAAAAAAGAAAAAAAAAACAGACCCAGGAAACTATAGACCAATCAGCCTAACATCAATACCCAGGAAGATACTGGGAAAGATAACAAAAAAACAGATCTGCCAACATCTAGAAACAAGTAAAGTAATAACTAGCAGTCAGCACGGGTTTGTTAAAAACAGATCATGCCAAACCAATCTTATTTCATTCTTCAACACAGTGACTAAATTAGTAGACCAGCAAAATACTGTGGACATAATATATTTAGATTTCAGCAAGGCATTCGATAAAGTAGACCACAACCTGCTTCTTAGTAAGCTAGAAAAAAGTGGGATAGATAGCACCACCACTAGATGGATTCGCAACTGGCTGGCAAACCATACTCAATGAGTAGTCCTTAATGGGTCTAAGTCTGCATGGAGGGAAGTAAGCAGTGGGGTGCCACAAGGTTCCATCTTAGGCCCAGTACTCTTCAATATCTTCATTAATGACTTAGATGAGGGAATAGAAGGGGAACTTACCGTATTTGCAGATGATACTAAGCTGACAGGAATAGCTAACACCCAAGAAGATAGGCTCAAGATCCAGATGGATCTTGACAGGCTAGAACACTGGGCCATATCTAATAAAATGAAATTCAATATAGAGAAAAGTAAAGTCCTACACTTAGGCAAGAAAAACCAAAAGTACACATATAGACTGGGTGAAACTAAGCTCAATAGCAGTAACTGTGAGAGGGATCTTGGAGTCTTAGTGGACAACCAGCTAAATATGAGCCAGCAGTGTGCAGCAGCAGCCAAAAAAGCTAATGCAATCCTAAATTGTATTAACAGAGGGATAGAATCAAGATCAAGGGAAGTACTAATAAATACCACTCTATAAAGCCTTAGTAAGAGCACACCTAGAGTACTGCATCCATTTTGGTCACCACATAAAAAAGATGTTGAGGCTCTAGAAAAAGTACAGAGAAGAGCAACCAGGATGATTAGGGGACTGGAAGCTAAAACGTATACAATGAGTAGTTACAGGAACTGGGCTTGGCTAGTCTAGTAAAGAGAAGGACCAGGGGAGACATGATAGTGGTCTTCCAATATTTGAGGGGCTGCCACAGGGAGGAAGGGGTCAAGCTATTTTTTAAAGCTGTAGGCCAGACAAGGAATAATGGATGGAAACTGAAGAAGGAAAGATTTAACCTGGAAATAAGGAAAAACTTTCTGCCAGTGAGAACAACCAATGGAACAGCTTGCCCTCGGAAGTTGTGGAAGCGCCATCAGTTGAGATTTTCAAGAAGAGATTGGACTGCCATTTGCCAGAAATGGTGTAGGGTCTCCCAATTGGGTGTGGGGGTTGGACTTGATGCCTACAAGATCCCTTCCAACTCTGATTATCTGTATCTGTATCTCTATTGTATTAATGAGTCTCTCACTATATGTCTGGAAGTAAGCTTGAGTCTTACTTCCTGGATTCCACATGAAGGGATGCCATCCCGCTTGTAAACTGTGCCCCTCTAAAATTAAAGTTCTTTTATTTCTTAAATTGGCCCAATCTTTGATCCATGTTAAAACTGCTGTTTTATAATATGTTTCCTAGGCAGGGAGTCCAAATCCACCTCTGCTCTTATTGTCCTGCAGTGAACTAATTTAATCCTTGCTCTTTTACCTGCCCAAACAAATCTTGTTGTCATTTTGTTTAAATCGCCCAAAACCCTTTTTATCCAATTTTACTGGGATCGTTTGAAAGAGATGAAGTGATCTTGGTAAGATATTCATTTTAACGACCACGATCCTCCCTAACAAAGATAGTTGTATTTTCTCCCACTTTTCTAGGTCTTTCTTTATTTGTTGCACCAAGTTTATGCAATTGTACTCTTTTATTGTTGAGCATCTTGCTGTAAACGAAATGCCTAAATACTTCACTTTTTTTGCAATTTGTAGTCCTATTTCTTCCACTAATTTCTTTTTCTGATTATCCATTAAATTTTTCATTATCAATTTAGTTTTATCTTTATTAATTGTTAGACCAGCTACTTCCCCAAATTTCTCTATTTCCTGTATTAATTTTGATCCTGATTCTATTGGTTCTTTCATAAAGAAACAAGGTCATCAGCAAATGCTTGAGCCTTATATTCTTTTTTAATCTTTAAACCTTTTATTTCCTGATTTGATTTAATTCTTACCAACAAAATTTCTAGTGTCAAGATAAAGAGCAGAGGTGAAAGTGGGCATCCCTGCCGTACTCCTTTCCTTATTTCAAATATGTTTGTAGACTCCCCGTTAATTAATATATGTGCTTTAGGAACCAAGTAGATTGAGCCTATCATTTTTTCGAATCTGTCTCCAAATTTCAAATTTTTTATTTGCTGAATCATAAATTGCCAGTTTACTCTGTCAAAAGCCTTTTGGGCATCCAGAAAAACTAGCACAGCCTGTTTTCCTGGATGAGCCTCATAATACTCCAGTACATTGATTACTGTTCTTATTTGTTTTTTATTTGTCTTGTTGGTAAAAAGCCATTTTGTGCATTTTACTATTCAATATTTTTTTCATTCTTTCTGCCATGATATTCATGTGTGGTATCTGTGCCTTCCTTCACTATTAGGGCAATATAAGCTTCTCCCCACAATTCTGGTAACCTTGCTTCCATTAATACTTCATTGCAAATTTCCAAAATTATTGGATCAATTAATTCTCCTGTGCTTTTATAGATTTCCCCTGGCAATCCATCCGTTCCTGGCGTTTTATTATTTTTATTGTTTTTTTAAGGGATAGCCTCCCTTAATTCTTTTATTGTGATATCTCTATTTAACCTTACCCTATCCTCTTCTATTAGTACTGGCATGGTCTCCCCGTTTAAGTAGTGAGTATTTTTTTCCTCTGTAGTATCCTCTTGTTTATAGAGTTCTTTAAAGAACTCTTATACAATCTTTGTTTTCTTTTCCATATTATATTGTAAATTTCCCTCTTTTTCCTGTAGTTGCTGAATCCTTGTTTTTTCTTTTCTTAATCTATAAGCAAGCCACCTCCCCAGCTTGTTGGCATGCTCAAAGATTTCTGTTAGTTTATATAGATTATAAAGTTCAGAGGTGCAGTTCTTTAAATCTTACTGTAGGACTAAAGAAACTGACAGTCAGCTGTTTGTGTCTTCAAAATGGCAGTCTTATTAAACTTGCATTGTCACTCTCCAGCAACTTCCTTTCTCCTCGGTTCTTTCTTCTTCTGCCGTTGGAGCACCAAATGCTAAGGGAAGAAATTTCAGCACGTTTATTCCAGTCACACCATTCTCTCTCCATCCAGCAGAGCACTTTCAGTTTCTTCTAGTCTGGTCTCGTCTCTTCCTTTCTGTGTCTCTGCCTCTGGTCTCGTATTTTGCCCTCCTCCTGATCTGCTCTTCCTTTTGTTTTTCTGCCTGTTACCACTCAGAGCTGTCAAAGTCATTTCAATGCTGCTCTTCGCACCTCCTCACCATTGATCATAAAATCCAGACTTGAAAATTTCTTCTACTCCCACTGCTTTTACTGCACCATTCACACTCTCCACTTCCTTCTTTTGTATTGTGGGACGTCAAGCCTCTGATTCAGCCATGAAAGCTGGCCTCTTCAGCGTCGGGATTGAAGGTCTCTTCCTAGCGCGGCGGGGGAATCACACCTCCCCATGTCGCCTCCAAAGCTTCCTTTCTTTCTTGCTGGTCCCCCCAGAACCGAACCTCGCCTCTGTTTCCCTGTGCTGCTCCGACTTCACATCACCACCGGAAGCTTTCAATCTTATTCCTACTAAAAAGAGAGTTGGTTGATTGATGCTTGCTTAGTGAGCATTTCTCTGCCTGAAGCAGTTACAGAATAGAGAGTTAAATTTAATATTTTTCTTATTTTTAACCCTAATGTTATATTGGCTGTTTCAATTAATTCTGGTAGGCTACATATTAAGCTTTCCTACCTATCATGATTCAGCTGTAAGTATAAATGATCTAGAACAGTGATAGCTAACCTTTTTGGGCTCCCGTGCCGAAAACTGCAAGTGCGCACATTCCCATGCCAACACCCAGAAGGCAATGTGTGCATACCCCTGCGCATGAGCATGCACGTGTTTCTTCCACACTTCCCGTGCATGCGCCAGATACCCGACAATCAGCTGGCGGGCAGGCGGCTCACGCGCACTTCCGGCATGCGTGCCACAGGTTCGCTATCACAGATCTAGAAGTTTTGCACATCTGCATTACTTGTTTTCTCTTTATTTGTATATGCATAATATATAACTAGTGAATCTCCTTTAAAAATAACTTTTTGTAAAATTTTGTATTTCTAACTTAAGGGGTGTACCTGCTGACGTTCAGATAGAAATAGATGGAGATAGAGAAACAGAGAGAATCTACTCACTCTTCGCAATCAGTATGACAAAACTCCAAAAAATGCAAGGTATGAAAGACTCATAACACAATCAGTTTTGTAATATTAATAGCTATTAGCTATTGTCCTAATTGGTAATCCCATATCCATTCTAGATAATTTTCAAAAGTTGGCTCAAATCAAAACTCATGTTGGACAAAAATGATAGATTGCCAGGCTTTACCCAGCTATTCTTCCTCAGACCCCAGCACTACAATACCCTATACCCATTTGGGAGTCCCTGATCCTTGGGGGCTTTTTTAAAAGGATGCCAAGCTTCATTATGTACAGAGGAGAATGCAAAAGTTGGCTTCTAGTAGGCTCTTTCCTGCCTTTGCTTGCATTCTATATATTGTAAACACAGCTGCTTCTTCCAAGTATAAAATAAAGAAAAACTGTGATTAAATTCCATTATTTGTTTTCAGTTGTAGTGCATTAAGGAAGTATTCAGATCCCCTTCACTTTTGTCAATTTTGTTACACTGCAACTTATTCTACAGTCATTGAAATTCATTTTTTTCCTCATTAAACTATAGACAGTACCCCATAATGACAAAGTAAAAACAGAATTTTAGAAATGTCTGTAAATTTATTAAAAAGAAAAAACTGAAATATCATTGGCATAAGTTCAGACCCTTCACTCAGTACTTTCTTGAAGCATCTTTGGCAGCAATTAAAGCCTTGAGTCTTTTTAAGTATGATGCAAGAAGCTTTGTACACCTGGATTGGAGGATTTTCTGCCATTCCTCCTTGCAAATCTTCTCAAGCTCAGGTTGAATGATGACCATCAGTGAACAGCCATTTTCAGATCCCTCCAGAGATATTCATCAGGGTTCATGTTAGGGCCCTGGCTGGGCCACTCTAGGACATTCACAGAGTTTTCCCTAAGTCACTCCTATGTTTTCTTGGCTGTGTGCTTAGGATCGTTGTCATGTTGGAAAGTGAGCCTTCAACCCAGTCTGAGGTCCTGAGCACTGTGGAACAGGTTTTCATTGAGAATGTCCCTGTACTTTGCTTCAGTCAGCTTTCCCTAAACCCTCACCAGTCTCCCAGTTCCTACTGCTAAAAAACACACACACAGTACAATGCTGCCACCACCATGCTTCAGGGTTGGGGTGATATTGGGCAGTGCCTGGTTTCTTCCAGGCATAAAACATTTAGAATTTAAGGCCAAACAGTTCGATCTTGGTTTCATCAGACCAAAGAATCTTGTCTGGAGAGCTAGTCCTTCGGGTATTATTATGTTGTTGTTGTTTTTTTGCAAACTCCAAGCAGGCTTTCGTGTGTTTTGTACTGAGGAAAGGCTTCCATCTAGCCACCCTGCCATAAAGGCAACATCAGTGGAGGTGCAGTGCTTGGAAGAGTCTTGGTTGTGACAAACTTCTTCCCTTTGAGAATTAGGGAGCCACTGTGCTCTTAGGAACCTTCAGTGCAGCAGAAATTTTATTGTAGCTTTCCCCAGATCCTGTCTGAGCTCTAAAGGCAGTTCCTTTGGCTTTTGCTCTGCTACACTATGCATTGTCAGCTGTGATGCCTTCCTTAGAGAGTTGTGTGCCCAATCAATTTAATTTATTAAAGGTTGGCTCCAATCGAGGTGTAGAAACATATCAGCAACAATCAGGAGAAATATGAGGCACCAGAACTAAATTTCAGTAGCCTAGCTGGATAAAACTTGATTCCCAAATAATGAACATCAAATATAATCATTCCCTGGTCGTTGCAAAGGGTCTGAATACTTATGCCAATGTGATATTTCAGTTTTTTCTTTTTAATAAATTTACAGACATTTCTAAACTTCTATTTTCATTTTGTCATGATGGGATACGGAGTGTAGATTAATGAAAAAAAAATGAATTTTAACAACTGGAATTAGACTGTGGCATAACAAAATTGACAAAAATGAAGGGGTCTGAATACTTAGTGAATGCACTGTATTCAAGATGTGGTTCTCAAAGTGTACATCTCAATTACTGTATATGTGTTAGTAAGTAAATTCTACATTTAATAAGCTAATACGTGGAAGGGAAAAATCTCTGTTGAAGCTGAATCTCCATTACATCCAGATAAATTTTCATTTGAGCTTATCCATCCAACTGTAGCAATAGTGGAAGAGATGTCTGTGACTTTAAAGGCTCAAGTAGAACTAAGTCAAAAGCATTCCCAGAGTAACAAATACGGAATTGTAGAACTAGGGAGTGATTGTATTTTATGTTCGTTATTTGGGAACCAAGTTTTATCCAGTTGGGCTACTGCTTCTTTTATTGTATGCTGGAGGTTAGTTTTTATGCATTATATATAAGGTCCATTAAATCAAGAAATCATGTGACTCAGCGCCATCTCCTGGATATTTAGGCTTGATAGAATTTACAGATTTATGAAAGAAGAATATAATATCGATCCTTTTGATCCTTTTACATTTTTTCATGGAAGAGTTTTTACTTATCAGTCCAGATAACAATTTAAATTGCTTTTATTTACACTGATGAATTAGTGAATTAATATGAAACGGTATTCTGTTATGCCCCCAAAATACCTTTCTTCATTATTTTAATTAATCACATTTATGGCAAAACCTATGTTGAAGATATAGAAACTTTGTTTCTTGAACATTTAAAGCTTCATAATACTTTAATATATTATTTCTAGAGGCTTGTGGAAGTATAGCAGTCTACCAAGGTCCACAGAAAGAGCCAGATGATTATTCTAATTTCAAAATTGAGGACTCAGTAGCAACTTTTCAAACTCTTCAGCAAATAATATCAATTGTAGAACAATTGGACATACATCATGATAAGTATCGGGAAAAAAGATCATCTAGTGCTAAATATGGCAGTGAGTAAGTATTGTAGGTAATTCTACCATTACAACAAGCTTGTCCTTTAACAAACTGCTTCTGTATGTTAATGTAATTCTGTGACCACATAGTCATCTAATATATTATGTGTTGTTCAAGATAACTACCAAGATAAATCATGACAATAGGTTTTGGTTGTGAAAGATAGTTCAAGTAAATGTTAACATATTATTTACTGTATCTTTAACAAGGATGAATTGCAATCAGTTCAAATTTGGGGGCAGGTGATTAGAAATCAAGCAAGAGGATTTTGTCCTGTCCTTTACAACATATTAGAAGATGTAATTTGGGAAGAAAGTAAATTCTGAAGCAGAGTGACAGATTTGCCACAATAAAATGAGAATATATTACAACTAAATGCATTCCATGTCAATCCCCAACTATTTTTAATTGAATTTGACTAGTTTGGGGGATACAATGTGTTTAGAATTTGGAATTATCTCTGAGGGCAGATAGGCAGTTAAGACCACATCCTTCATTCTGCAAATCTTAATACAGTAAAACCTTGATTTAACGGACTAATTGGGAGAGGAAGTGTTCAGTATTTCCAACTATTAAATATGAAAATACATTATTTGTACTTGTTTTTTCCTTTCCATAGGAAGGTCATTATTCAAATTATATAAACTGCATCTGGTTTTGTAAAATTAAGGTGGTACTGAATTAAATTTTGATTCCTCATCCAGAGTATGTACTGTAGAATGCAGAAGTTTTCTTTTATTTGTGGCAGATATCCAGGTGGATTTAAGTCTGCTCAGTGGGATCAGTAAAATTGAAATTTTATTGTTGTCAGAAAACACAGCATTAATTGTAAGTGAAAAATAATGTTTAACTTGTTGTTTCTAACAAATAGTTACATACGGTTCTTTTTTTCTTTTGTAGAGAAAATCCAATTGTTGGAAAAATTTCTTAACCAAAGGCACTTTCAATAGAGATGGATTTTGAAAGAAAGGATTTGGAATAATTTTCACTCTTTAATAACAAACTGCTTTTGGGATCATTCAGTGAATTTAAGAATATACATTTCTTACAATTAGCTGTATTCACAAGCTTATTTAATATTTAACAGTGGAAAGAACAAATGTGGAATCAGATTTCTGCAGGGATAAGGGAAAACATACTCATATTGTTTAAAGAACTTAACATACAAAAATGTAAGTAAACAAGGTATCTAAAGCTGGGAAGATCTTCTAAAAAAAATAAGCTTTCTACGGAAGAAAACAGCTACCACCTTCAGTTGGGATTTTATCTGCCAGGATAATCATCAGCTTCTGTGACTATCACTATTATCTGGACAAAGAAATTCTGACAGGCGGCAAACGAATTTGAAGCTTTACATTCAGCGCACAGTCACTTTTAAAACTTCCTTTCTTAATTTACAGTATAAATGTTTTTTTTTTTAAAGGAACAAAATGATGGTACTTTTTCAAAATGTGCATTGACAATTAGCAAAGTTATGTTATTTAAGCGGTGTCACTGAAACAGGACAAGTCAGGGAATCTATATGTCTTGTTTACAATTGGAGTGAATAGTGAAAGATACCATGTGGAACCATTGTGTTTTTCTTTTTGAAATAACACAGTATTAGTATTTTTAGTGATTGGGTTAGGGAGGAGGAGAACCTATGCTGTTCAGATAATACTGTAGCTGAATACCATGTGGCATATCATTAGTAATACTTCTTTTAAAAAATGCCTAAAGGTACAGTGAACATTGCCATACCCAATTGTAACTAGCTCTTTTTGAAAGTCACTCCAAGCACTTTACAATATCTGGTTATCCCCAGATTATAATTCTAGATACTTTATAGTATCTAATCATTATGATCAGTTGAATGATCACTATTGTGGCTTAAAACCATACTTTTATTAAATTTTATATCTAGGATATTTTTTACTTGCCAAGTAAAGTTTTGAACTAAGCTTAACTTTTAGAAACTCTTAATCTTGCCTTGTTGTATTTGTACCTGATAAAAAGACTGCTATATAATAAATATGAGCAAACTAATATTTGGGAGAAGAAAAGGCTAAGTTTTTAAAATCAGTATTATATGAAGTTATCAGAAATCAAGCTTAACTCAAAAGAGACTTTACCTTTTCTTTATTGAATGTGGTACTACAGAAAACTCACCTTGGGAGAATTTATTAAGCACTATAAAAATCAGTGTATTTCCACTGAAGTAACATTCATGATTATCTGTTTATTGGGTCTCCTTATCTTTTAATACTCTTGGTTTACTATTATTATTTGCCACCACTCATAGGACTGCTTTCATTGTCTAATAGAAATATAAAATAAGGACATTTAAAAAATAAAACTGGCTTAAATACTACATGATTGTAATGGTATTATGCTAGCAAAATAAGAGAGCTTGCCATTTAAATAAATAGTCTAATCCTAAGACTGAACTAACCTAAATTAATTGCACCTAAATAGAACTTCTTTTCTCTCAATAACTAGTATCCATGCCTTATCACTAAATGTTTTTGATACTTTTGTTTGAGGCATAGGTACAAATACTTATTAAAACAAACGAGCTCCCTGAATATATAAATCTTATCAGCGCAGATTGTGCATAAAATGTAAGGGAAACTGTAATAATTTAGTGACAGAATGAATGACACAGATCGCATAACACAATCATTACCACAAATTATACCTGGTAAATGCAAAGCAAAATGCAAGTGTGATGTGGAGTTGAAGCCTGGGTGTCTTTTATGCAAAATACCTAGAAAAATATGCTTCCATTCCCTTATTAAATTATATTTCCAAAGTTGATATACAAATTTCAACAGCAAAGCAACTAAACAACAAAAAGTGCATTTTAAAAAACATGCACATATATGGCCATCCCAGTTGATTACTGCTAAATATATTTCAACAATAATAATTTTTCCCCTTGCAAAATAGGTCTACCATTTATAAACTTGTACAGCTCTATTTGCCCAACTAATTTGACCTGCCAACTACGTACCATTCAAAAAGTTATCAGGTAAACCCAACAACAAAACTAAATTTCAAACCCTCTTTTAATATATTCTTGTATTTCACATGCAGAAAGTACACAACAGCTTCTAATCTACCATAAACTACTGCAGTCATTATCTCTGATCTGCAGTCTTTGACTGATTCTTTTCCTTAAAATTATAAGCATTAAAATATGCTTTCATTCCTATGCCTATAATCATACATAAGATTTAATACATACAGAAATTGCAAATTATGTTTTAGTATAAGAAAAAAGTGTAAATATCAATGATATATATAATTTAAACACAGAGATAATCTGAGTTTAAAAAAGAAAGTGGATCCTTGACAAAATATTACATTTTCTCAAATACCTCTGAATCTTATGAGTGGAAGGAAAAATCAGAGATTCACCCACAGAAATTCTCCATGTCCAAAACCAGGCTTCCCTTTTAGACTCAGATAGGAAACAGCCATGAGTCCGCTGAAAATATTCTGGAATTGTAACTATCAGTCCAAGAACTATTTTATACCTGTTTACAGTGTTTGGCAGTAAGAAAAACATCATTTCCTTCCTGGATTATACCAAATCAATAGGGTATAAGTAAATGTGAATTCCTCCACCCTGAATTACTCCTATAACACCGATTTAAGATTATTGAAATATTTATACAATAGAAATGAAAGCTTTATTTTGTTCTGAAAAATCTAGCATTTGAATAATAAACAGAAATAATTTACAATCTTTGGAACTTCATTTTGTGTCTCTGTTTAACGGGATTTTTTAATTAGATATTTCTGTGTAATTGTCATACAGGAATATTGTGTACAGCCAGCTGCTAAATATTTTTTTCACTTCAAATAGCTAATATGCTGTTGGTTATTAGTGTATGGGAGAGGCTAGGTTGACTTCCCCACTAAGTATTTATATAGAAATGTTCATATACAGTATTTATGTAGTGTTTCCTTAGCCCTGTGGATATGTATGGAAGATCACCATTTGACATCAGTATATATGATTGAATAGTATTATCATCTTGAGACTTTTAGACAATCTATAGTTACAATTTGAAACATTTGTTAATATACTGAATTACAGCATTAATTTGTTTGATCATCACTGTGTCATTCATTCTGTTCTAATATTAGTTGAAGTAAGTTCTATTCGTGGTATTTTAGTAACCACATAATTGTAAGATACTACTCAATTCTTACTATTATTGGTATTCATTCCACTTAACCCTTTTGCTTCCCAATTACAGCTATTCCCTTTTTTATAATAGGACTTTCAGGAGTATTACCATCTCAGAAAGCATGACATCTAGTATTGAGGATTTCATTCTGCAAATAGTATTAAAAATGGTACATTTATAATAGTTATTATTAAAGAAAATATAACTATGTTAGTTTGGGCATTGTTCCCTCTGCCAATGTTATCAACTTTATGAAGTAATTGTTGAGGGCAATCATTGGGAAGGATTTCTAGAGAAATCCTTGACATGAAGAGATAGGACCATTCTCAAGACATCCTCTGACTGGACTCTGCTCTTTTCTATCACCTAACAAAGGTTCCACCAACCAACTGTAGGAAGGATACTTGGATCTTTTTTTACAATTATTTATTTGCTTTTTTATTTATGGTTTTTGATAATTGCTTGCAAACTGCCTTGTAAAATATTTATCTTGGAAGTAGATTATAAATAATAGTCACCAGAAATAGTTTTACCAAAATCGTGATTGATTTTTGGACTTTGTACTTGTGGATGGGTTCATATATTAACTTTGTGCAGAATCAGCCTTATTGTTAATGAATATTTTCCCCTTGCAAATGATCTGATGTTTTTTATCTTATCAAATTTGAGGATTTATTTTGTGTTTATTTTTCTGGACTTATTTTTTCCTAGCTTTCAGATTAGAGTTGGTAAGAGGTGTTTTCTATTTTACATCTCAGCATTGCAATTAATCCTCCTGGTTGTCTATAAATTCTAATCTCTTAGTAAGCTCCAAAATGCTGGAGAGATCCTTATACAGTGAAGGACGGGACATTCATAGATACCTATGACCATGACTAAAATAACATTCTTTGCCCAAGTGAATTTAATCAAAATTCTCTCCTCTGAAATAAAATTTGAAAGCAAATTATTTTAAATTGAATTGGAACAGAGAAAGGGAAACATCAGAATTTTCAATATGGTTTTAATATAGTGCTAAATGAAATGCTTATTTTGTATTTGGATTCCAATGGGTTGCCCAATATTCAGAGAGTCTAGCGCATATCTCATATAGTTATTCATTTGTCCTTTTTTTACCAGAATTCCTGATTGCAAATTCATTAGGTTATTGAGCAAATAATGTACACTATCCTTATTTTTGTGTGATACCTTTTTTTGTATTAAAGGACTTCCATGGCTGTCTGCTTGTTCTCTCAGGGATGGGTGCATAGCAGTAGCATCTGAAGCATAGTGTCTGTAAAGTCTTCCTTCCAATTTTAACTCACAGGTTTTACATTGCTCTTTTACAAATATCAATTTGACTTTATTGGCCCAGAAAATCTTAAATTACATTTAATAATTATTTTCTTTTGACAATTATATTCATCTGACAAACTAGATTTATAATTATTATAGGAATAAAAGCACTTTCTAAACAGAAGGTACCATATTGTGCCAATAAAATTTTGAAGCAGTGAAAATCAACACAGCAGCACTAAACTAGTTTAAATGTCCATATACCATGTGAGTGTTAATGAAAACATAACCAAGTGCCAGAAATAATTCCAGACCTGCCCATGCAATTCTTTTGTCAATTGTATATTTCCTATGCAGTAGAAAGTCCTACATTACATTTTGTACAAATAGGTGAGAAATATTGAAAGGAGTTTCTATTTGAAGTAATCCTAAGTAGTGTCTATTCACTACTTAGCTTTGGTTAACAATGTAAATTTAACAATGTATTTTAATGATGGTATATTGAATATTAATGATGTGGTGTGTGTGTGTAGTTTTATTTAAAGTTTATTTTCTTAAAAGTATTAAAGTATAGAATTGTTTGAAACTTTATTGCACTTTATTTTAGTTGTTCATTTCTTAAGTATATAAAATGTAAATGAAATTTCTTCGTGCGAAGATGTTTAAGATCAATACTTTTATCACTGAAATCAATGTCAAATTACATAAGTATATTCACTAAACTGTTAAATGATAAAATGTTTTTCCAAAACATAACTTTATGACAGTTTAAATGGAATAAGAAAAATAAGGTAAATTGGGATTTTATTCATTGAAACCATCAGATTTGCTTTAAAATAGGTATAATTTTGTACAAGTAATAATTGACAAGTGCAAAGTATTTATTTCCTTAACGAAATACATATCTTCAAGAATATAGTTTTTAAAATTTATATTCCAACTAATACAAAGAAGAAGAGAAATATTTGAGATTTGCAGTGTTCATATATACTAGTGGTTCCCAAAGTGGGTGGTACTGCCCCCTGGGGGCAGTGGGATGCCTTAGGAGGGCGCTAAGAGGTAAGGGGGCTGGCAGGGGGCACTAAGAAGCGGAAAGGGGACATTTGAGGTGC